AGTTCGCACGTGGACACACATGTTCACACCCAGAAACACTACCTCATCAGCTGTTGCAAAAGGCCCGCGATCTGACGACGGCCCAGTGCGCTCTCCTGGAGCGCCGGACATCAGGGGCTTTTCACTCCCGACGGCATAGTGCCCCTGCTCGGGCCAGGCCCTCCCCACTGACCCTCAGCCTCCGACCTCCTCTCGTTGGCCTTGTTGGGCCATTTTACCCAGAATTCCTGGGAATCCCAGGTGGAGGAGGGCCTGGGGCCTGGTTGGTGCAGGGTGAGGTTGCCATGGGGCCTGAAGAGGATCGTTGGAAAAGATCATGGTCAGAGGTGTGCCCCTGGGTTGGGGCGCACCCAAACCCGACCTCTCAGGTGGACAAAACGGGAGTGACGCTCAACCCCAGGGGCTGCGCCTGTGCAGGGACTGTTCAGCAGGCGGCTTGAGCCCTGCCCACACCAGCAGCCCCCCTGCAGAGCTCACGTGACCCGAGACGTGGTGGGTGCGTGGAGAAAATGAACCCAGGTGGGCAGCCGAGAGGGCTGACGCGCGTTCTCCGTGGGTGGGCGGCTGAGCCGAGTGTGCCCCAGAGGCTGCGTCCCCCACCCATGGATCAGCAGAAGCCCGGGCAGGTCCCCTGCAAGGTGGGCAGAGCTGGCAGGAGCAGGCAGGGAGTAGGGGCAGGCTGCCAGGGCAGCCAGCAGGGAGGAACACGGGAGGCAGGGCCCCGGGCAGGCTTGGGCCACGCTCTGGGCTTGCAGCCGCGGCCTCTGACTGGGAGCTGTGCCAGATGAGGGGCGGCTGCTCCACACTGGGCTCCTGCGGTGACCTGTTGGCATTTGGATAGAAGCCACAGGCCCAGAAATGAAGTCCTGGCCCTTCTGGGGAGGGGGTTGGGGTGGGGTGATCTGGGCCTCAGTTTCCCTGGTGCCTCCCAGGCCTGGCTCTATGTCCAGAGGACACCCCTCCCCCGGGGTACCCCCCAGATAGAAGCCACATGGTGTGGGGGCCTGTCTCCCACCCTGAGAGGTCCACCCCGTGGCCTGGGCACAGAACGCCCAGCTTGGCCCACCAACAGGCCTTAGGCCCCTCAGAGCAAGGCCCTGTCGCCCCTGCTCCAGTTACAAACATCAATGTGTAATTTACACGCATAAGGTATAATTCACATGTAATTTACATGCCCAACGTGGAGTACAGTCCACAGGCTCTGAAAAACGCAGGATATGGCACAGCTCCAGCACCCAAATTCTGTAACGTGCATTTGTGGTCAGCCCCGCCCCCCCCCCCCCAGCCACTTCAGCCGCTGATCTGTTCTGTCTCCTGTGTTGTGCCTTTTCTGGAGCGTCATGAGGTGGAACCGACCTTGTGGAGCCTCTGGGTCTGGCTCGTTCACGCAGCATCACGCATCTGAAGTCAGTGGGGCCCGTGTGTGGAGCGTGTCCTTGGTGCGGAGTGGTACTCCGAGGCTCCGCCTTGCCCGTGAGCCACACTGTTCATATTCCCCAGCTGGGGACGTCGGGTTGAGTCCAGTTGGACGACGACGAGAAAAGCCCCTGTAAACGTTGTGCCCTGGCTGTCACGTGAATGTAGTTTTCATTTCCTTTAGATTTTCGTTTTTCTCTGGGTCATATAAGAAATGTATGTTTAATTTTATAAGAAACTGCTAAGCTGTTTTCCAGAGTGGTGGCCCCATTTTGCAGTCCCTCTGGCAACACAGAAGGTTCCCGCTGCCCTGCGTGCTTGCCCACACTTGGGCGGTCAGTTTTGTGGTTTGGTTTGGTTTGGCCATCCCAGTGGGTGTGCAGGGGTGTCTCATCACCACCAGCGGTGCCGAGAATCTTCTGCACTGGTTCCAGGCATTCTGTGGAGGGCTTTCTGAGAAGAGGCAGTGGAGAAGTACCTGGGGAGTGGGCTGGCTCCTCCAGCTTCCCAGCAGGTAGTACTGGACCCAGCACCTGATAGATGCTGGCACACAGTAGGTACTGCACACAGTAGGACCTGGCACACAGTAAGCACCGCATACAGTATGACCCAGCACCTGGCAGGATCTGGCACACAGTAGGCATGGGCACACAGTAGCTGCTCAGTAAATGCTGAGTGAGCTGTCTGGCCTCTGCCCCAAGACCAACCAGTCCTTTGGGAGAAAACAGTCCCTTGCAGCACAGCCGGGCTCCAGGTGCGTGCCAGGAGGGCAGTGGGCACTGCTCCGGCGTGTGCAGCCTGGAGAGGCCCCTCTCATGGGGAAGGCTGAGCAGCACAGACACCGTAGGCCTGTGACTGTGTCGCCAGGTACGACAGTGTGAAGCTGGGGCTTGGAGTCTGCGAGGATCTAGGACCTCCGAGGCCCTGGGCCTTCCTGAGTGCAGCCAAGGGGTCCCTGGCTTGGAGAGCCCGAGTGTGGTGGGCAGGCGACCCCCAGCACCAGGGAGCCGGCCACGTCCCTTGTCACAGGGAGTCCAGGGGCTGAGAGAGGACGGCTCAGCCCGGGTGGGGCGGGGCCGCTGGCTGCGGGCTGAGGGCCAAACAGCCGTCCATGTGCCTGGCCGCAGTCAGGGACCCTGGCCAGCGCCCATCCGAAAATACCGTGGTTGCTGTCACAGAGCCTGAAATTAGGCATCCTGGCGGCTTGCTGTCGGGAAAGCACGGGAGCCAGACAGATGTGGGGCGAGTGCTTCCCTCCGTCCGGCGGCGTCCAGTTCTGGCCTGGACCAGGGGGGTGGACGGGTGGGAGTGTGGGGTGGACAGCAGGAGCTCCGTCCCCATCCCCAGGCTGCCGCCAGGCCGCTGCTCTGGCTGGGCCGCCTCACATCCTGAGGCGCTGCTGCCACCTGCTGGGCCCTGTGGGCAGGGCGGGTGAGGGCTCCAGCCTCCCACCATGGCCTCCTGCCAGGCTGGCTGCACAGGGCTCCTGCTGGGCGGGGAGCCGCAGACCCGGGGCAGCAGCTCCAGCCCCTGCTGACGAGGGCACCTGGGACCAGGACTTCATGTCCTGGAGCTTCAGTTTCCCATTCTGTATGATGGCGAGCACCACAGCATGTGCCTCGTAGATCCTGGGAATTAACTGAGATGAAGCCTGTAAAGTGCTCAGCCAGGGCCTCCTCTGGCCATGTGCAGGGGGGCCGGCAGGGACCCTCCTTGCAGACGTCCTTACTCGAGCCTGTCATGGAAAATCTGCACCTTGAGCACGTCTCTGTCCCCGCTTGGCTGACCTGGGGCCTGGGGAGGCCAGCCTTGACCCGAAGGTTTCCAGCTTTCCCTGGGCTAAGTGCTCATTTGGTCAGTCAACAAACATTCTGAGTAGGACCCTGTTTGGGCTTGGGGACACGGTAGTGGCACCGTTCCCCCTGCAGAAGGGATATGCCTGTGGTGCGGCGTGCAGGGGCCTGGGGCACGTCAGCCTTTCCGCGGGCTCTGAGAGCTGCAGGGACCTCCGAGTTGTGGGGGAAGGGAGCAGGCCCCATCTGGCACTGTCCTGAGACAGACTGAGAGGCGCCGGCTGCCCCCTCCCTGACACCAGGCTGCCGCCTTTTTATGGCCACATGTCTTGAGAGCACAGCAAACAGCCCCTTGTCTCCATGGTGTTGGGGATGGGGCTGCCAGGGTGAGGGGAGGGGGCAGCGTCCCAAACACGAGCCAGCCACGGCGGTCGGGCTCTGCGCTCTGGGGGCTGCTGACTTAGGGCAGCAGCGGGGGCTGCGCCACCCCCCGGGCACTCACAGCACTCCCGGGGCCAGACGCCGTCTCCCTGCCATCTGGACCAGCCCTCAGGGCACTGCGCCGGGCGCTCAACCCATGTGGCAGCAGGACCCGCTCCCTGAGGGCGAGCTCTGAAGCCCGGGGCAGAAGCAGACGGAAGCCATGGGGCAGTTTTCATGGGAGCCCACAAACCCTGATCAAGTGACCCCGCAGTCCCACCCCTGGAAGATCCCCAAGGAAAGCGGGGCGCCGACTGGAACACTTGGTCACAGGGGGTGTGGCAGAGCTGCTCACAGGGGCCGAGAACCGGAGACAACCAGGTAGCCGTGCACTGGGCCTGGGTAGACAGGGCAGCGTCCACAGGGTCTCCTCGGAGAGGGAAAGGGGTGAGCTGCTGACGTGGCAGCAGCCCCGTGAAGCTCCAAGAAGGGCGGTGTTGAGTGAAAGCCCAGCCAGGCCCCCCGTGTCGACCCAGCGCCTCTCGGACCCGCCGCCCCAGAGCAAGCAGAGCGGGTGGCACGTGGGGGGTGGAGGGGAAGGGCGACAGGGCTGGGGTGGGGGCACCCGAGGGCCGCATTCCCTTTCTGCTGTTCCAACAGCTCCCGCAGATTGGGGGCCCTAACTCCCCCCCCCACACGGCCCTCTTGGCTCTGGGGATCAGAGCCCCACGTGCTCTGGGGGCCCAAGTCGAGGTGTGGGCAGGGCTGGCTCCTCCCTGCGCTCTTATTGAGGCCACATCGCTCCGGTGTTTCCGTGGTCACTTCTCCCTCTGCCTAGGACCCTGTGATGCCCTTGGGCCCCTCTGATAACCCAGCACCCTCACCCGTCCCAGCCCCTCCCTCACACCTGCGAAGTCCAGTTACGCCGAATAAGGTGACGTCCCCAGGTTCCCAGGACTTGGCAGTGGACACTGTGGGTCCACTCTCCTGCCCCCATGGGGGTCTCATGGGGTACAGTTACATGGACGCTCACTTCCCGCGGGTCTGTCACGCCTCCAAGAAAAAAGGAAAGAAGATGAGCACCACACAGGCTGGGCAGCAGTGGCGGCTGAGGGTCCCGGCACGTGGGGGTGTCCGGCCCAGCCTCGGCGCGCTCGTGCTCCTGAGCAGTGGGAGGACGCCCCGGGCTGAGGGCAGGCTCAGACTCCTGCTCGCACCCACCCAGCCCCCGACCTGGGGCCGACGGGTCCCTGGGACAGGAGTAGGACAACTAGCCAGAGTCACCTGCCCATGCCCTCCACGTGGGTCCGGACGGCAGCCTCCGGCCCCGGTCCATTGTGACCTTCTGACCCACATCCCCTCTCTCCCCAGGATACCGAGAGGGCTTTCTCTGGAAGCGCGGCCGGGACAATGGGCAGTTTTTAAGCCGGAAGTTTGTGCTGACGGAACGAGAGGGAGCCCTGAAGTATTTCAACAGAAATGATGTGAGCCGGGCTTGGGCGGGGGGTGCCCATCGTGGGGCAGTGTCCTGGCCTCCCCTCCGGGACGGCGGCACCACCTCCCAGCTGCCCTTATGCATCCCAGGAGCTGTGCTGCCCCCCGTGGGGACACGCCACCACCCTGTGGGGACATGCCACCCCCATGAGGGTGCGCTACCCCCCCAGGAGGACACACCCTCTCCCGTGGGGACACGCCACCCCCCCGGGACATGTCACCCCGTGAGGACATGCCACCCCCCATGAGGATGCGCTACTTCCCGTGGGGACATACTACCCCCTCCGGGACATATCCGTCATGAGGACACACCACCCTCTGTGGCGACATGCCACTCCCTGTGGGGCATGATACCCCCTGGGACATGTCACCCCCCCCAGGACATGTCACCCCCTGTTGGGACATGCCACACCCCCGTGGGGACACGCCACCCCCCTGTGGAGACATGACACCCCCAGTGAGGACACGCTACCCCCTGTGGGGACATGCCACCCCTCCCAGGGACACCCCCCATCCACTCCTTGGTCACAGTCACTTCCTGGGGCCAGGCCTGGGTTGGGCAATGCTGGCGAACAGTGATGGCGAGCCCTTCCTTGGTGGGCACCCCCAGGCCTGAGAGGGACAGAGGGTTCTGGCTGTGGTCAGTGGTCACCCCACCCAACAAGCACATGTTGAGGTGAGCCTGGGACCCCCCAGGCAGCACGTAGGGAGGGGCGGGAGGGTCCAGAAGGTCTTGCAGCTGGCCGAGCCCCGCCCCCACCTGCTCCAGGTCAGAACATCACCCCGGGGTATGGATAACTACGGGCAGCTTGCGGCCCACGACCCCACTGCCCCACGGGGCACCTGCACGGCAGTCTGCCACCCCCAGTGCAAGGAGAGGAAAGAAGTAGGGCTGGCAAGACGGGCAGCAGGGAGAGGGAGGGCCCGGCGTTGGAGGGGGCAGACCAGACAGAGGAGCTGTGTGTCCAAGAGGCAGAGGAGTGGTCTGCCTAGATGGTGAGCGCCCGCCCTCGTCATCCCTTGGGAGGGGGACGCTGTTACCTTAGACCAACAGACCAGGAAGCCCGGGCCCAGACAGGGTGAGTAACTCACCCAAAGCCACACAGTATGGCAGATCTGCGGTCAGTATCCACAGAGCCTACCCTGCCTGCTCCCTGGAGCTTGGAGGCTCCCTGCCCACCTGGTGCTGAGGCCTGGCCTTGCTTCCCAGGCCAAGGAGCCCAAGGCCATCATGAAGATCGAGCATCTGAATGCCACCTTCCAGCCAGCCAAGATCGGCCACCCCCACGGCCTGCAGGTCACCTACCTGAAGGACAACAGCACCCGCAACATCTTCGTCTACCACGAAGACGGGAAGGTGGGCATCTGGGTGGGTGACTGGGGCGGGGGCTGAACCACCACTACTCCCCCAGGGCCGGAGTGGGGAGCTGGCCGGGCCCTTTGGGGAGGGGCCTAGGGTCAGGGGGCAGAGGAGGTGCCTGGGCCGGCGTGCACGCGTCCCGCCATGGCCATTCCCCTCCCCTACCAGCATCTCTGGGGGGCGAGGGCGGGAGGAGCCCCAAGCAGACCCTCCACGACTGTCCTCTCCTCCAGCGGTGGCCCCTCCTCTCTGCCACTTTGGTTTTCATCACAGTGTGTGTGCATGGGGTTTAAAGCGTGAGATATCCTACGGCGCACAGAGCGTGAGGCCCTTCCAGAAGCAACCACCTTCAACGCTTTTTTTTTGCTTTTTTTTTTCCTTTTCTATTGTATTAAAATACACATAACATACAATTTACCATCTTAACCATTTTCAGTGTCCAGTTCACGGGCATTCATGGTGCACAGTCACACTGATGTGCACCATCACCACCATCCACCTCCAGGACTTTCTCATCTTCCCAAACTGGAACTCTGTGCCCATTAAACACTGACTCCCCGTCCCCCTCCTCAGCCCCTGGCGCCCACCACCTACTTTCTGTCTCCGTGGATCTGACTCCTCTAGGACCTCATATAGCGTATCATACAGTGTTTGTCCTTCTGTGACTGGCTTATTTCACTGAGCATAATGTCCTTAAGGTCCATCCATGTGGTAGCAGGTGTCAGAATCTCCTTCCTTTTTAAGGCTGAATAAAATTCCCCTGTGTGGATGGACCACATTGTGCTTTACCATTCATCAGTCGATGGACACGTGGGTTGCTTCCACCTTTCGGCTGTTGTGAATAATGCTGCATGGATGTGCAAAAATCTCTTCCAGACCCTGCTTTCAATTCTTTTGGGTCTACACCCAGGAGTGGAATTGGCGAGTCACATGGTAATTCTGTTTTTCATTTTTTGAGGAGCTGCCAGACTGTTTTCCACAGCAGCTGCACCATTTTACATTCTCACCAGCAGTGCACATGGGTTCCAGTTTCTCCATCAACACATGTTTCTGGTTTTTTATTTTAGCCATCCTAATGAGCATGAGGTGCTCAGACCTCATTTTGATTTTGGTCACCTATGAGCATGTGGTCATTTTCACCTATGACCTAATGAGCATGAGGTGCTCAGACCAAAATCATTTTGGTTTTGATTTGCATTTCCCTAGTGATTAGTGATGTTGATCAGCTTTTCATGTGCTTGTTGCCCATTCCTAGATCTTCTTTGGATAAATGTGTATTCAGGTCCTTTGTCCATTTTTGAATCAGGTTGTTTGTTTTTTTGTTGAGTTTTAGGAGTTCTCTGTATATTCTGGATATTAATCTTTAATCAGATACATGATTCACAAATATTTTCTTCCATTCTGTGGGTTGTCTTTTTACTCTGTGGATAGTATCTCTTGATGTACATAATTTTTAAATTTTCATGAAGTCCAACTTGTCTATTTTTTCTTCTGTTGCTTGTGCCTTTGGTGTCATATCCAAGAAATCATTGCCAAACCCAATGTCATGAAGCTTTTGTCCTACATTTTCTTCTAAGAGTTTTATTGTTTTAGGTCTTCCATTTAGGTCGTTGATCCACTTTGAGTTAATTTTTGTATGTGGCGTTAGGTGAGGGTCCAGCTTCGTTCTTTGCATGCAGATGTCCAGTTTTCCCTGCACCATCTGTTGAAAAGATCGTCCTTTCCCTATTGAATGGTCTTGGCACCCTTGTCAAAAGTCCTTTGATCATATACGTGAGGACTTATTCCTGGACTGTCTGTTCCATCAGGCTACGCGTCTGTCCTTATGCCAGGACCACACTGTTTTGATTACTGTGGCTTTGTAACAAGTTTTGAAATCAAAAGTGTGATTCTTCCAGTTGTATTTTTCCTTTTTAGGATTGTTTAGGCTATTTGGGTTCCCTTTAGATTCCATATGAGTTTTGTCAGATGCTTTTTCTGCATCAATTTAAATGATCATGTGGTTTTTTCCCCTTCATTCTGTTAATATGGGGCATGACACTGATTTCATATGTTGAACTATCCTTGCATTCCAGGAATAAATCCCACTTGGTCATGATGTATAATCCTTAAATATGCTGCTGAATTTGGTTTGCTAGTATTTTGTTGAGGATTTTTGCATCCATGTTCATAAGGGATATTGGTCTGTAGTTTTCTTTTCTTGGAGAAAAGTCTTTGTCTGGCTTTGGTATCAGGGCAATGCAGGCCTCATACAATGAATTAGGATGTGTTTCCTCCTCCTGAGTTTTTTGGAAAAGTTTGAGAAGGGTTGATATTAGTTCTTCTTTGAATGTTTGGTGGAATTCACCAGTGAAGCCATCAGGTCCAAGGCTTTTCTTTGTTGGGAGATTTTCAATTACTGATTCAGTCTTCTTACTCCTTATAGGTATTCAGATTGTCTATTTCTTCCTGATTTAGTCTTGGTGGGTTTTGCGTTTCTAGGAATTTGTATTTCATCCAGGTTATCCAATTATTTGGTGTAAAATTGTTCATAGTACTGTCTTATAATCCTTCTTATTTCTGTAGAATTGGTAGTAATACCCCACTTTCATTTCTGATTTTAGTAATTTGAGTCTTCTCTCTTTTTTGCTTAATATATATAGCTAAAGTTTTGTCAATTTTATTGATCTTTTTGAAGAACTAACTTTTGGTTTCATTTATTTTCTCTATTGTTTTTCTATTCTCTATTTCATTTATGTCTGCTCTAATCTTTTTTTCCTTCTTTCCGCTTGCTTTGGGTTTAGTTCATTCCTCTTTTTCTAGTTCCTTAAGTAGTAAAGTTAGGCTGTTGATTAGAGATCTTTCTTGTTTTTTTTAATGTAAGCGTTTATAGCTATAAATTTTTCCCTTAGTACTGCTTTTGCTATATCCCGTAAGTTTTGGTATGTTGTGTTTTCATTTGTATTCATTTCTAAGTATTTTCTAATTTTGCTTGTGATTTCTTCTTTGATCTCTTGATTGTTTAATTTCTACAGTTTTGTGAATTTTCCAGTTTTCTTTATGTTACTGATTTCTAACTTCATCCGGTTGTGGTCAGAGAAGATACTTTGTATGATATCTATCTTTTAAAATCTATTGAGACTTAATTTGTGGCCTAACATATGGCCTGGAAAATGTCCCCTGTGCACTTGAGAAGAAGGTATAGTCTGTTGTTGTTGGGTTGAATACTCTGTAAGTGTCTATTAGACCTAGTTGGTCTATTGTGGTAAGTATTTTCTTACTTATCTTCTGTCTGGTTGTTCTATCCATTATTGTGAGTGGGGTGTTGAAGTCTCCAACTATTATTGTAAAACTTTCTATTTTTCCCTTCAATTCTGTCAGTTTTTGCTTCATATATTTTGATGGTCTGTCATTAGGTGCATAAATGTTTATAATTGTTATATCTTCTTGTTGTATCGAGGCTTTTATTAATTATAATGTCTTTGTCTCATAACATTTTTGATTTAAATTTGATTCTGTCTGATATTCATATAGCCCCTCTTGCCCTCTTTTGGTTACTGTTTGCATGGACTATCTTTCCCATACTTTCACATTCAACCTGTTTGTGTCTTTGGATCTAAGTGAGTCTCTTGTCGACAGGATATAGTTAAATCATGTCTTTTTATCCATTCTGCCAATCTCTGTCTTTTGATTGGAGAGTTTAATCCATTTACATTTAAAGTAATTACTGATAAGAAGGCACTTACTTCTGTTATTGTGCTATTTGTTCTATATTCCCTGTAGCTTTTTTTGTCTCATTTCCTGTGTTCCTGTCTTCTTTTGTGCTTAGTTGACTTTTTTGTAGTGATATGTTTAAATTTCTTTTAAATTCCTTTTGTGTACATTCTATAGCTGTTTCCTTTGTGGTTACCATGGGGCTTACATTTAACATCCTAAATTCATAACATCCTAGTTTCAATTTATACCAGCTTAACTTCAATAACATACAGAGACTGTGCTCCTTTATAACTCCATCTCCACTCTTTTCAGCTGTTGGTGTCACAAAATTACATCTTTATAATTGTGTGCCCCAAAAGATAAACAAATAATTCTTTTAGCTGCATTAGTCTCTTAAATTATGTAAAAAGCAAGATTTGGAGTTACACACCAAAGTTACAGTAATGCTAGCTTTTACGTTAATAGTAGTTTTTTCTTTAAATATATTAGCCTCTTAAATCATGTAGAAACCAAAAAGTACAGTTACAAACTGTTGTTACAATAATACTAGCTTTTCTACTTGCCCATGTATTATCCTTTACTGAGATCTTTATTTCTCCATGTGTGTTAGAGGCACTGTCGAGTGTCCTTTCGTTTCACCTACAGGACTCCTATGAGCATTTCTTGCAGGCAGGTCTAGTGGCCACAAACTCCCTCAGCTCTTGTTTATCTGGGAATGTCTTGATTTCTCCCTCACTTTTGAAGAACAGTTTTCCTAGATATAGGATTCTTGACTGACAGTTTCTTTCTTTGACGCCTTTGAATATATTGGCCCACTGTGTTCTGCCTCTAATATTTCTGATGAGAAATCTTGCTCATAATTTGAGGATCCCTTGTATGTGATGTGTCGCTTCTCTCTTGCTGCTTTCAAGATTCTCTCTTTGTCTTTTGAAAGTTTGATTATAATGTGTCTCAGTGTATGCTTCTTTGAGTTCATCTTACTTGAAGGTCATTGAGCTTCTTAGATGTTTATATTCATGTCTTTCATCAAATTTGGGAAGTTTTCAGCCATATTTCTTGAAATATTCTGCCAATTTTCCTCTCTTTTCTCCTTCTGGGACTCCTATGTTGCATATGTTGGGCCTCTTGATGGTGTCCCACTGGTCCCTTAGGTTCTGTTCACTTTCCTTCAATCTTTTTTCTGTCTGTTCCTCAACCTTGATAATTTCATTGTCCTATCTTCAAGTTCACTGATTCTTTCTTCCCCCTGCTCAAATCTTTCTTTGACTCCCTCTAGTGAATTTTTTATTTCAGTTATTGTACGTTTAGCTCCAGAATTTCTTTCGGATTTCCTTTTAGGTTTTCTCTTTATTGATATTTCCATTTTGTTTATGCATCATTTTCTTGACTTTCTCTACATCTTCCTTTTGTTTTTTGATCATCTTGTCTTTTTCTAATATGTCAGCTATTAGGTCTTTTCAGGGACAGATTCTGCTTAATTATTTTTTCTTTTGAATGGACCATACTTTCTTTCTTCTTTGTGTGCCTTGGAATTTTCTGTTGAACATGGACATTTGAATCTAATAAGGTGGTAACTCTGGAATCAGATACTCCCCCTTCCCCGGGGTTTGCTCTCTTTTGTATTGTTTCAGTTTTTTTGATTGTTGTACGCTGTCTCTGTGCTGAGGATCAGCCTGGGGTATAAACTTAAGGTCTTCTCAGGTCTTCTCTGTGCCTCTCCCTGGTCGTGTGTGGTCACTTTCTTTTTTTTTTTTTTTAATTTTATTTATTTATTTTTCCCCCCAAAACCCCAGTAGATAGTTGTATGTCATAGCTGCACATCCTTCTAGCTGCCATATGTGGGACGCAGCCTCAGCATGACCAGAGAAGCAGTGCGTCGGTGCGCACCCGGGATCCAAACCTGGGCCGCCAGCGGCGGAGCGCGCGCACTTAACCACTAAGCCACGGGGCCGGCCCAGGTCACTTTCTGATTTTCCCCATATATGTAGTTACTTTTGGATGTCCTAGTTTTTAATGTCTGGCTCCCAAAGGGGGAAAAGTGAAAAAAGAAGAGTAGGGGGAAGAGGGTGCTGAGCCTTTTAATCCCCTGGAAGTCACTTCAGCTGGAGGAGGAGGGGCTTCCAACAATGGGGGGAGTGCAACAATGGCCGCCCCCTTCTTTGTCTGCACCTCTGTGATCAGAAGCAGCAATCACCGATTGGAACACAGGCCCCGATACTTGGAGGACGGGGTCCTCTTTGCCCACCCTGGCTCCTGCACACAGTGTACAAGCCACTCCAGGAACACGTGCACAGCTGCCTGCCACGAATGGGGGCAGGGAGTGGGTAGCTGCTACTGTGTTCAGAGCTAAAACTGACCAAAATTAACCGCAATTTATGTCCAAGTCATTCCCTGGAAGTTGCAAGATTTCAACAGACTTGAGTTTCAAAATAGGTACAGTCATGAGTTGCTTAATGACAGGGACATGTTCTGAGAAATGCGTTGTTAGGCGATTTCGTCGTTGTGTGAACATCATAGAGTGTACGTACACAAACCTAGGTGGTGTAACTACCACACACCTAGGCTACATCGTGTGGGACCATTGTCGTATATGCGGGCCATCGTTGACTGCAATGTCGTGATGCGGCACGTGACTGTACTTCAGACAGACTCACCCAGTGCCATTGTTGTCTAGGTGGGAGACAGATTCCTGGTGCCTCCTGCTCTGCCACCTTCCCAGAACCCTCTTTTCAGCTCTTTTTGTCCAGGCATGTGAATAACATGCTTGTGCTGCTGCCAGATCTGTCTGTGATGGCCATCACCTGATGACTTCCAGCCATGGAAGACAAGGCTCGAGCTCTCTCCAGCCCCTACCCCCTCACCTCACACGGCCATGTCCCATTCCCCACCCACCATCGCACTTACAGTGCAATTCTGCCCCCATCTGTATTCAATGTTTACAGTATCGTGACCATGTAAATCCTATCAGACCTGAGCAGTAGGGCAGACTGTAATCGCTTTTCCTTTCCTGCACCATGTTTTATTATCCCTAGAGCTAACAGTTGTCTTTTTCTCCCCTCTAGTTAGCTGCATGCTCATTACTAACTCACCCAAACTCTCCACTGATCATCTAAGTCCCTGGACACAGTCAGGCACCCCGGGTGGCAACTGATTTCAGCCGTCTGGAGGCATCTCTCCTGCAGCCACATCTCACTCCCGGGCTGATTCTGTTTCCTGGACCCTAAGTCTTTCTTGGTTTACTCCCTCCTCTTGGTGGAACACACCCTTCAGTAGCTTCCTGAGAAAGAGTGCCTGGGAAGCAGATTTCCGGAGACCTTGCACATCTGAATTGATTTAGAGTTTGGCTAGTTACAGAATTCTGGGTTGAAACTGATGTTCCTTCGTAATCCCGAAGGCCCTGCACCAGTGACTCACTGACCCCAGAAGGGGTTTGATGACATGCCTGGGTCTGGGTCTGTCTTCCTCCTGTGTGCTGGAGCTCAGGGATTCCTTCCTGTTCAGTAATTCATGTCCATGAGGTTGAGGAATAGTTTCTTGAATTATTTCTTTAATAGTTTCCTCCTCCACTTTCTCTGTTCTCATTTTCTGGAACTCCTAGTATTCAGATGTTGGCTGTCTCTCTCTTCTATTCCAACTTTTATTTTTCTCTACTTTCTGGGAAATTTCTTCAAGTTTAGTCTTCCAACTCTTCTACTGAAAGTTTTATTTTTACTCTCAATGTTTTAATTTTGCAGAGTTCCCGTTGGTTCTTGGAATGTTCCATTTACAAAGTACACTGTTCTTGTTTCATGATTGTAGTATCTTATCTCTAATTGTTAATGTTAAATTCTGAAGCTTTCTTATCCCTAAACAATGTATATTTCTTCTGAGTTGCTATTTCCTGTGCTTTGTTCTCTGTCTTCCATTTGAGTGATTTCTTGGGATCTGGGGCTGGTCAGATTCTCCAGAGAAGACTCCTGTCTGGTGCAGAGACATTTGACCCTAGCACTGTGGGGGCTGAGAGGGTACAGGGGTAGGGTGTCTCAGGCTTTGTGTGTACACAGTCACACAACTTCCCCCTTTCTGGAATGGTGCCCCTCCTCCCCTGCCATGCACACACATGCCATACCTGGCACTCTCCTTTACCCTCTGCAAAGAATAAACCTCTGTCTTCTGCAGGGGGTGGGGAGGGGCAGTCTTCCAACCAGTTCTCTTGCTGGCCCCCTCCCACGTCCAGCGGGACTGAGAGCAGTTCACTGTCAGCCCTTTGGGGGTGGTGCCGTCCAGCCTGGGCTGCATCCCAGCTTCCCTCCCTGTGGCTTGGATCTCTTGCCCTGCAGCCTCCATCTGTGTGTGGCTCCCAGCACTTGGTGGCTCCTCCCCCTCTTTGTGGGTTGAGGCCTTTAAGAAACAATCGCTTGTGCAGCATCAACAGGTTTTAGGAGGGAGCTTGGCTCAAGGCACCTGAGCAAATCTTCCGCTTTACCCAGAAGCCTCTACCTTCACTGTCCTTGTGGGGAGACCAGACCAGGGAAGGCAGAGGGTGGGTGCTGGGAGCCCAGGGCCTTTCCGTAAACGCAGTGTGATGCTCTGCCAGCCTGAGTCCCCAGCAGCCCTCCCTCCCTCCCTCCAAGAGCCCAGTGCCCCCAGTGCTTAGGTGCAGCTGGGCCTGTTTGAGGTGGCTCTGCCCCAGGTGAGTGCAGAGTCTGGCAAGAGAGACAGGCATCAATTGGAGATGAGTGACTAAAACTCCAACTGTGCTCAGTGCTGGGAAGGGGGGTTGAGCAGGTTAACAGGGGGAGAGAGGGTAACATTGCTCCAAGGGGTGAAGGCAGCATTCCAGGAAGCAGGAAAGGCGTGTGCAAAGGACCTGTGGCTGATCAAACAGGAAGTACTTGAGAAGCTGACAAGGACGAGGGAGGTGGCAAAGGAAGGGGTGGAGACTAGCACAAGATGGTTCTGCCAAGGCAGGCTGACCCGACTCGGCAGGGCCCAGCAGCCGTGCTGCAGATCTCTGTCTTTATTGGAGGTGCGGTGGGCAGCTGCAGGGAGGGTGTCATGGCCCCACTTGAGCTTCTGGATGATCCCTCCAGCCCACCTGGTTTCAGTGATTCAAGGAAGGGCCAGAGAGGAGATGGGAGGCAAGTGCCAGGGACTCTGCAGGAGATGGTGGTCTCTGGCCCCACAGGTGGGAGAAGGAACCAGAGGACTCAGTGGTGCCCAGGAATGGGCTGGGGGCACCAGGGGTGAGCTGAGGTTCCTGGCAGGGTCCGGAATGGAGATCACAGCCTGGATTTGCAGGGCTGGGTCAGGGGTCCTGTGCGCCAGGGCGGGGAGACAGGGCAGAGGGCGTTGCCGGGCGGGGCCAGTGAGGGGCGGGGCCTCGAGGGACAGGGCTTGTAGGCGGGGCCGCCCCTCCCCCAGCAGCTCCGCCCGCCTCTCCCCGGTGGGGGCAGGGAGGCGGCAGCCGGGGCAGTTATAAATAGAGGAGCCTCCCTCGCGGCAAGCAGACCTGCAGGTGGTAAAAATAGTCCCGCCCGAGAGAAGAAAAGGCCGCCCCGCGCCCAGAGCAGCGTCAGGGCCTGGGGGCCGGCCTGCAGGTCAACCCCCAGCCGCTGTCCCCCGCCCGGTCCCTAGCTGGCCTGTTCCTCAGTGCGTGACCCCGTCTGTCCGCTGTGTGGTCTGCGCCCCCCGCGGTGGAGCCGTCCCCTCCTCCAGGCCGCCCCGGGGGCTCTCCCCCAGCAGGCCTGCACGCACGGTGGGGGACGGGCCGGAGTGGGGGGGCGCAGCCCGTCCTTGCCCCCTCCCCAGGGCGCCCCGGAGGAAGGGGTCCAAGGGGGGCAGAACTCGTAGGGGCAGCGCCCCTTCACAGCCCCGCGGGCCGCCCGCCCGCCCTGTGGCCGCGGCCCACACCCAGCTCTGACCCCCAGGAGATGGTGGACTGGTTCAACGCGCTCCGCGCCGCCCGCTTCCACTACCTGCAGGTGGCGTTCCCCGGGGCCAGCGACGCGGACGTGAGTGGCTGCTGCCGTGGCCCCGGGGGGGGGGACGTGCCTCCTAGTCTGGGATGGCGGGTTGGGGGCTGACCAAGGGCCCACCTGGATCCCTAGAGCCCCCGGCCGCTGACCCCCCTAGGCCCCGTGAAGTGACCGCAGCGATCCTATTTTATGGGGGGAGGGGGCGGCCTGGGGGGCTGGGCTGGCTCCTGGGCCGGCGTGACCTGTTCTGTACCCCAGCTGGTGCCGAAGCTCTCCAGGAACTACCTGAAGGAAGGCTACATGGAGAAGACCGGGCCCAAGGTGGGTCGGCTTGGCTGCCTGGGCAGCCCGGCCTTGCTCCGGGATCAGCGGCTCATCACCGGGGGCCAGGCGGGAGGACGCAAGTGCCGGTGACACTCCCAGGCGGGGCCTCAACTCGCCCTCAGTGCCTTTGGGGGCTCATCTTGGCGTGGGCAGCCCTGGCCCTGAGAAGTTTTGTAAGAGCAGGGGCCCCGCTGACCCAGGACCATGGGGCTCTGGGTCAGGACCCAGCCCTGCTGACTGCGGCCAACTCTGAGCCCTGCTTCCTGCCTCGCCCTGTCAGTCACATACCTGTCACCTACTGGGGCCAGGCACCCACATCATGCCCTGCAGAGCCTGCTCGGCCCTTCCCTGCCATGGGAGGACAGGGCAGACATGATGACTCAGATCCCAGGTCCCAAGTGGCCCCGAAGTCCAGATAGGGCTCTTTGGGAAAGTGCAGTGTAGAGGAGCCTGTCACGGAGGCCTGGACCCCGCCTGGGGCCCACAGGGAGGGCTGAGACACAGCCCAGCGAGGAGAAGCTGTGTGGAGGGAGGGACAGCATGTGCAAAGGCCCTGCGTGCAACCAGGGGCGTGGGCAGAGCAGGATGCAGCATGGCCCGCAGGAGGTGGGAACGAGTGGACGAGTGGGTGGATGAACGTAGGGCCCGGCCCTCCTGGTGGGGAGCTGTGGTCAGCTGTGGGCAGGGGCCTGCCTCAGGCCGACCAGCCGGTCACTGCACGCTCTGACCCACAGCAAACAGAAGGCTTCCGGAAGCGCTGGTTCACCATGGATGACCGCAGGCTCATGTACTTCAAAGACCCCCTGGTAAGGAAGGGCCGAGGCCCCGGTCAGCTGGGCCCTTTGCAGGGTGGATGGGCCTCCCTGCTCTCCTCAGTCACCTTGGACCTCCAGGCCCTGGGCCTGTGGGCCTCAGCCAGCTTGGAGTGAAGCTGGGCTCAGAGAGGAAGCCGCCCAGAAGGAATGGCCCTTGCAGCCCCTTGTGCGCAGTGGGCCGGCCTGGAGGGCCCAGGGGCCCAGCCGGCTCAGCCTGGTCCCCACCCACAGGACGCCTTCGCCCGTGGGGAAGTCTTCATCGGCAGCAGGGAGAGTGGCTACACGGTGCTGGACGGGCTCCCGCCGTCCACCCAGGGCCACCACTGGCCGCATGGCATCACCATCGTCACGCCGGAGCGCAAGTTCCTGCTGGCCTGCGAGACGGAGTCAGAGCAGCGGGCGTGGGTGGAGGCTTTCCGGAAGGTCGTGGACAGGCCCATGCTGCCCCAGGAGTACGCAGGTGAGGGCCGGGCATGGGTGGCCTGGGACTGTGCCCAGCATCCCGTGTGGCCCTGACAAGGCCGGATGCCTGTCCCTTTTCCAGTGGAAGCCCACTTCAAGCATAAACCCTAGCGGAGATGGTCCTGGAGGCCTGAGGAATCTGGACTCACTAGACATGGCCGGCGAGGAGGCGGCGGCAGGACCGTGGGGGCCTGTGGACGGAGGGAGCCGGCTGCCCGGCCCCTGCCCCGCCCCGCCACGAGGGGCAGCCCTAGATGCGGCCAGGTGGGGCCTGAGCTTTAGCCACTAGGACCTGTTTCTCTGGAACCTCACTACGGGCTGGCCCAGCCTGACCTCTGACCCCGTCATGCTGCTGCCACCATATGTGACACCCCAGCCCCACGCTCCCCTCCCTGCCCACTGGACCTTCCTTCCTGAGGCCCCGGCCTGGCCTCCAGCTCAGGGTGGCCCTTCACTAACCGGCCCTGCCCCCACCCCCCTGAGTAGGACCCGTCCCTGACAGGAGGCTGGGCTTGGGGACAGCGGGCCGGCCTGCATGCCTCCCCGTCAGCTCCCGTCCTCCCCTCATGTCCCTTGCTCCCCCAACAAGTATTTATTGAGCATCTGCTGTGTGTCAGTTGTGGAGTGCTGGGGCACCCACTTGGGGTGGGAGGGAGACCGAAGGGGGTCAGCTCGTGTCTGCTGCCTGCTGGGCACCTCACATGCCCGGCTCAGCGCTGACCGGCGACCTGCCCCACTGGCCTAAACTTGCGGCCTTTGAACCCTTGAAGGATAGAGGCCTGAGCCCCACTCACCCCCCTACCAGACCCCAGCATGCTGCTGGCTGGCCAGTAGTTGCAGCCATCGAGCCGCCTCCCCAGGTGCCCTGGCTTTATCTACCCCTGGGGAGATGTCTGTGAGAACGTCTTGGGGAGAAGGGGGGACGGAGGGGGAATGTGCACAGGGTGCCAGCTCCCTAGGAAGCTGCGGTGTGTCATTGGCTGGAGTAAGGGGGTTACCTGCCAGTGACCTGGGCAGCACCTAGCCCTTGCCCCAGTCCTGCTTGGCCAAGACATGCCCTGCAGGGGAGCCCTGCGCCAGCCCTTGAGGGGACTGGGAGGTCCCCAAGGTGGGGCATTCTTCCCCCCCACCTTGTGTCACATCCTGGAATAAAGTGGGGCTCTAGTGTGGCCTAATCTGTGTGTCAGAGGCTGACGAGGGGGCTCTGGGTCCCCAGGAGGACCTGCCCACTGGCCTCAGGTACATGCCAGGAAGGAGAGACACCCCCAAGAAGGGCGCCCGAGGGCCTCCGCCTAGCCTCACGGGCCTGACTCCCACTGCCCAGAATCAGCCCACAGCAGGCAGGGGGACTTGGGGGCCAGTGTGTTCAGGTGGGGGGACTGGGGGGCCCATCCTTCCTCCCTCTGATCCCCCATCTCCCTCCACATCTGAGCATCACCAGCCCATCGTAAACCTGGATTCTCAGATGGGGGCGCTGTAGGGTCAAGGGGGAGCACGAGGTGCCCTCTCCTCACAGAGGGGCCCTGGCCCCCCCATCCCAGCCCTGTGCCTGCTGACCCAAGGCTGCTAGGGCAGGGGTCTCGGAGACAGCTGGGCTGGGGGTGAGAACAGCCACAGGGTCACCTCCACAGCCATGAGGGCCACCACCCCCAGGGAGAGACAGGCTGGCGCTCCCAGAGACCCTGCCCGTCCCAGGAAGGTGCCTCTCCCAGGAGGGGCTGCTCATTCCCCCTTTTCCTCAGAACCCGGCTCTGCTCCTCCCCAGCCGCGCCGGGCACCAGCATCCACTGTCACCAATGCATCTTTCAGAGGCAGGAGGACGTGCCTGGGTCAGAAACGAAAACATGGAGGTCTCCTTCGATTTACCCCACTGCGCAGGGCTCAGCCCACCCACAAGCTCTCTGGACTATCTTCCAGACCCTTCCCTGACCCTGGGCGTGTGGGCACCCACTCTGCGTGCGCGTGTGTGCATGTGTGTGCGTCTGTGTGCATGTGTGCGCACACCCACGTGTTATACCCAGGAAACAGACAACCTTCACGTTTTTAAAAGAAACGATAGAACAACTTTACGACAGGTGGGGAGAATCCCTTGAACAAGGCAGGAAACGCAGTCCATAGAGGGTTGGTTGGTTTGCTCACCTCGCGCCTCCCGGGCTACTGCTAGTTCTGGTCCTCAGGGGGCATCAGGGCAGTGGACTGTGAGGTCAGGGCAGACCTGGGCCTGGGTAGCCGTCTGGCCCCGCCTCCCTTGTCCTGCAGAGGATGGCCCGCCCTCGCACGAAGGTGGAAGAGGCGCAGGAACCACACAGCCCGCTCTGCTATGACGGGACGCTGCATTCCTAGAAAATGTGCCATTCACAACGCACAATAAAATCCACGAGGCTTATGGGAAAAGCCAGGCCAGGTGCGTGGCCCTCGGTCTTCATCCCTCCTGGCAGTGACCGGTGCAGGTCTCCACGTGCTGCACGGTTCAGACACAGCTGCTGACACCGCACGTCACCAGGAGGAGGATGCCTGAGAGTCTTGGGGGGGGGGGGTGGTCACCTGACACCAGGTGTGGCGGGTGTGTCATGTACATCCTGCAAGGATCCATTCAGATGGCATTTTCTGTGTTCACTTAGTGTTAATCACGGGCAAAATCGTGTGTAAAGAATTTGCATTCTGCTCTAATTAATTGTTCCCTAAAAATCAGTTGTGCTGGGTGCAATTCGTGGTTTCAAAACAAATGGCACAGCACAAGTGGGGGTGTCCATCCTGGGCTCCGACCCCATGCAGCCTCCCTTCCCATGGCCACAGCTCCGCCAATGTCCAGCCAGGCCCCACGCCCCCGATCTTACCCTCCACCACCACCCTCTCCTGAGAACCCCCCTGGGCAGTTTGTGGGGGGGGCTCTGACCTCAGGACACGGGTCAGTGGAGCCCCACCTGGCCCTCCCACTACCCTCAGCACCATCCCCCTGCCCCCGTGGCCCACTCTCAGCAGCCACGATGCTCTAACCTGGTAGCAGATTTGGTTTCTCCAAATTCAAACTGACACCATATATTTATATCTAAAGTTACAAGACTTCCCCAATGTTGGCCACTTGTCACCGTCCACTCCACCCACCACGGGCACAGTCTAGACAGACCTGGAAAATACTGGTCACAGCACCCGCTCCCCTCGCCGGGGCTCACAGGCCTCTGCCCAGACCCCCAGCCCCAGCCCCCCAACCCCATCCCATAAGCAGCCCCAGGAGCTCACGCGGAAAGGACCAGTGCTGCAGAGCCCAGTATAAAGGATTTATTTAAACTCAACAATTCACATAAACCTTCCTTTAATTCCATTTTTACAGTAAATAAAATTGTATTATTTTGCTCCTTCCCATGCATGATCACTGTGCATTAATCTACAACTCTTATTTTAATTGTGAAAAAATAAAGTGTTTCCCCTTTTGTAATTATCCTGGGAACATCTGGTATAGCATCAGTGAGAAAGGACAGATTTGCTCATTCCTGGACTGGTTATTTGGTTAAAACCTAAAATGTCAAGTCAAAAGAATCAGTCACCCGATGAAAATAAATATTGCGTTATGAAAGGTGGGAAGTTCTGCAGCATCCCTTTATAAGATGCCATTTCAAATGGCCATGTGCTCGGTGGCAGGGCCGTGGCTTCCGGGATTCGGCACGGAGCTGCTGCCCAGGTGCACTCCAGAACACCATCCACGTGGGGCCGGCCCGACGGCAGCCACCCTCCACCGCCCAGGGAGCACAGCTCCCCTACGCCATCCGTGATGGGGACAGGCACACTTGACGCCAGGTGCCTGTGTCAGCCCCTTGGCCTCCCAAAGCAAACCAGAAACAAAGGACCGGGAAAGGGTGCAGGCGCGGCCAGGCTCAGCTTTATTGTGGGTCGATCTGAAGTTGCACGGTGCAGCCCAGCCAGCACGGCCACACAGGCCACAGCATGGCCCCGCGGCCCGCGCAGAGAGAGAGAGATGCCAACACGCAGCCACCGCAGCCTCAGAACCGGGAGCCCGCCGGGTGTGAGGACCCACGTCCCAGGACTCGCGGTCAAGGGCGTCTCCATGCAGGTCCAACAGGCGGCGTCAGTCCAGCTCAATGGGGCTGCTGTCGTCCTGACTGTCCTCGCCCTCCTGCTCCGAGGAGCCCATGAGGCTGCTCAGAAGGTTTCCTGGAAGCAAACGCACGGCCTGTGAGGGCCACAGCAGCTCCTTGCCATTGGCTCCACACCCCAGAAACCCCACCTTCCCGCGGTGCCCCGTGCTGGGGGGCCTGAGGACACCTGCACCTGTGGCTCAGGAGCCCCCAGGAAGAATCTCTCCAACGGAAGGGCCCCTGGGGCACAGAGAAACGCTTAGGATGTTGGCTGCACAACTTGACAACGGGGAAGAGGCCCTAAATGCCCACCAAGGGGGACATAGCACAGCCGCCCAGGAGAAGCCTGAAGAGGCATCGATAAGACGGTCACGGGAGACCCTAGATAAACCACACGCATGGCAACAAGTTACGCAGAAACCAGTACGATGCGTCCAAGTCCCAAAGGCTACAGGTAAAAATGCAACTGCCGCCACCCGTGGGGTTGTCCCGCTGACACTTTTCTTACCTAATCTTTCCTATCCAGAGAACAACTATTTTGTCAATACAGAATCAAAGTTTACAAAGTCTCCTTAAACCAAACCACAAGCGAAACAAGAGCAAAGGGAAAGACCAACAGCGTCTCTGGACACAGCTGGACGTGAGGCATAAAATCTCCCCTGATCTGCAACCTAATTCAGGCCCAGTAAACACACCAACAGCATCTGGGGGAACTGGAAAGGCTGATTCTGAAGTTCTGACAGAAAATAAACGAGCACGAAAAGTCATGACACTTGTGACGAGGAGCGATGTCGGGGATGAAGCCCAACAGATGTTAGCACAGCAAACTGACACTTCAAACTGAGATACAGACACACTAACATGGCCGCCATGCTGGAGGGACACCACCCTGCAGGGGCCCGACGTGGTGGCTTCAGCACAGGACGGGGTCACTCAGAGGAGGGGTGGTGGGGAGCGCTCGTCAGCTGGGGAGAGGGAGTGGGAAGTGGGTCCCCACCGCCACCCTCCACTAAGCAAACTCCAGACGATACACTTGACAAGTAAAAAGTCAAACCTGAAAATAATCTGAGAGACAGGAAGACCTTTCCATGGAGTGCAATTTAGCAACAGCCATCAAATCGACAAACAGCTGCCCGACCCCACAGAGACCCATGAGGTGGGGTGCCTTCTGGATTCGGATATGCAGGGTAACCAGGCTCTGTGGGACAAGCCCCCACCTGGGCCTGCTGCCGTGTCACCTGGAGCAGCTCCAGCTAAACTAACGCAGTCAATGCGCACGACATGGTACCGTTTGTGTAGAACGAGCCATCTGTGTATTTGCAAAGCTGTCTCCAGAAGGAGCTAAGGAAACCTGACTACTATCTGGACCTGTGAGAAGACCTGCGGGAGAGCAAAACAGGGCCAAGGTGCAAGCTTGTGAAGTCTAAACTCGGTGCAAGATGACCTACCTATTCAAAAATAAAATTTAAAAGGTTAAGGATTATAAAAACCACTGGTCCTGCCCTGGCAGAGGGGAGAAAAGCAGATGGCCCATGTGGCACTGGAGACCTGAGGCTGCCCTAGAGGGGGCAGGGCATGGGGGAGGTGGCCTGGCCTTGCAAGGCAGGGTCAGAGATCTAGCCTCCGCCACCCACCAAGACTAAATTGAGTAGACCTATAATGAGTAAGGAGATTGAAGTAGTAATCAAAAATCTCCCAACAAAGAAAAGCCCTGGACCTGATGGCTTCACTGATGAATTCTACCAAACATTTAAAGAACTAACATCAATCCTTCTCAAACTTTTCCAAAAAACTGAAGTGGAGAGAACAATTCCTAACTCATTCTATGAGGCCAGCATAACCCCGATACCAAAGCCAGACAAAGACATTGCAAGAAAAGAAAACTACAGACCAATATCCCTTATGAACATGGATGCAAAAATCCTCAACAAAATACTAGCAAAATGAATTCAGCAGCATATTTAATGATTATACTCCATGACCAAGTGGGATTTATTCCTGGAATGCAAGGATGATTCAACACATGAAATCAATCAATGTAATACCCCACATTAACAGAATGAAGGGAAAAAAAACCCACATCTTTTCGATTGATGCAGAAAAAGCATTTGACAAAATTCAACACTCTTTCATAAAAACACTCAAAATAGGAATAGAAGGAAACTACTTCCACATGATAAAGGCCCCATATGAAAAACCCACAGCAAACATCACACTCAATGGTGAAAGACTGAAAGCTTTTCCTCTAAGCTCAGGAACAAGACAAGGATGCCCACTCTCACCACTTCTGTTCAACATAGTACTAGGAGTTCTAGCCATAGCAGTTAGGCAAGAAAAAGAAATAAAAGGCGTCCCAATTAGAAAGAAAAAAGTAAAATTATCTCTGTTTGTAGATATGATCTTATATGTAGAAAATGCTCAAGAATCCACAAAAAACCTGTTAGAACTAATAAACGAATTCAGCAAAGTAGCAGGATACAAAGTCACACAAAAATCAGTTGCATTTCTATACACAAATAATGAACAATCTGAAAACGAAATTACAAAAACAATTCCATTTCAATAACATCAAAAACAATAAAATACTTAGGAATTAACTTAACCAAGGAAGAGAAAGACTTATACAATGAACACTACAAAACGTTGCTGAAAGAAATTAAAGACGACATAAATAAATGGAAGCACAGCCTGTGTTCATGGATTGGAAGAATTAATATTGTTAAAATGTCAATATCAGCCAAAGCGATCTAAAAATTCAATGCACTCTCTATCAAAATCCCAGACATTTTTGCAGAAATAGAAAAACCAATCCTAAAATTCATATGGAATCCAAGGGAGCCAAATAGCCAAACAATCTTGAAAAATAACAAAACTGAGGCACTCACACTTCCTGATATCAAAACTTACTACAAAGCCATGGTAATCAAAACAGTGTGGTATTGGCATAGAGAGAGGCCAATGGCATAGAACAGAGAGCCCAAAAATAAGCTCTCACATACATGGTCAAATGGTTTCTGTTTTTTGACAGGGGTGCCAAGACCGTTCCTTGTGGAAAGGCCAGTCTTTTCATCAAATGGTGCTGGGAAAACTGGATATCTGCAGGCAAAAGAATGAAGTTGGACCCTCACCTAACACCACATACAAAAATTAATTCAAAATGGATCAATGACCTAAAAGGAAGACCTAAAAAGATAAAACTCTTAGAAGAAAATATAGGACAAAAGCTTCAAGACATTGGATTTGGCAACGATTTCTTGGATATGACACCAAAGGCACAAGCAACAAGAAAAAATAGACAAGTTGGACTTCATGAAAATTATGTGCATCAGAAGACACTACCTGCAGAGTAAAAAGGCAATGGGGGTGGGGAGGCATGAGTAGGCAGAGCATAGAGGACTTTTAGGACAGTGAAACTACTCTATGATTCTATAATGGTGGATACACGTCATTACATGTTTGGCAAAACCCATAGAACGCAGAACACCAAGAGTGAATTCGAAGATAAACTATGGACTTTGGGTGACTATGATGTGTCAGTGTAGATTCATTGATAATAAATGCACCACTCTGATGAGGGATGTTGATAATGGGGAAGACTGTGCATGTGGGGACAGGGGATATTTGGGAAATCTCTGTACCTTCCTCAATTGTGCTGGGAACCTAAAACTGCTTAAAATAAATGAAGTCTTAAAAAAAAAAGGCAACCCACAGAATAGGAGAAAATATTTGCAAATCATATATCATAACATTACACAGAACTCCTGAAACAAACCACCTGTCTCTACAAAAACAGGCAAATGACTTGAATAGACATATAGACATACACATGGCCAATACGCACAGGAAAAGCTGCTCACCATCACTAATCATCAGGGAAATGCAAATCAAAACCACAATGAGATACCACCTCGCACCCAGTAGGATGGCTACTATCAAAATAACAGAAAATAACAAGTGTTAGTGAGAATGTGGAGAAACTAGAACCCATGTGCACTGTTGGTGGGAATGTAAAATGGTGCAGCCGCTATAGAAAACAGTATGGAGGTTCCTCAAAAAATTAAACATAGAACCACCATATGACCCAGCAACTCCACTCCTGGGTGTATGCCCAAAAGAACTGAAGCAGGGTCTTGAAGAGATATTTGCACACCCATGTTCACAGCAGCATTATTCACAATAGCTAAAACAGAAGCAACCCATGTGTCCACCGACGGATGAATGGATAAGCAAAATGTGGTCTATACATACAAGGGAATACTGTATTATTCAGCCTTGAAGAGGAAGGAGATTCTGACACATGCTACAACATGGAAGAACCTCGAGGACATTGGGCTAGGCTAAATAAGCCAGTCACAGAAGGACAAATACTATATGATTCCACTTTCATGAGGTCCCTGGAGTCATCAAATTCAGAGAGACAGCAAGCAGGACGGTGGGTGCCAGGGGCTGGGGGGCGAGTGTTTAATGGGGACAGAGTTTCAGTTTTGCAAGATGCAAAACGTCCTGGAGAAGGATGGTGGGGATGGGTGCACTACAGTGTGAATGTACTTAATGCCACTGAACTGTACACTGAAAATGGTTAAGGTGGTCAATTTCACGTTATGTGTATTTTACCACAATTAAAAAAAACAACAAAAGGCCTCGATTCTGTGGCCAACAAAGAGGGAGCCCTGGGGACAATTATTTTTTGGGGAGCAAGAGGCCCTATTAGCTCTGTTTTGGGAACATGGTGGGAAAAGGACCTAGAGGCAGAGCAGAGAGCAGAGCCCTGGCAGGAGACCGCCACAACCATGCGATGGCATTATGGCAGAGCCCCCAGGGTGGAGGCCCGGGCAGGCGACCAAGCCAGGCCTGAGTCCAGGCCGCTGCCCGCTCTGCTCCCTCCCCTTGCGCGGCCTGCCAAGAGAAGCTGCGGTGAAGGACCCTTCGCTCCCGGCCTTACCTAGCAAGCCTCCGTAGGAAGACGTCTGCTTGGGTGGCACGCCAAAGAAGAGCTGTCCTATCCTGTCGAGGTACTGCAAGAGGCACAGGCACGGGTCACTGGGGAGACGTAATGTGCTGGACGTGCGCGCAACCCTGCAGCGAGTGCCCGCAACCCTGCAGCGAGTGCCCGCAACCCTGCAGCGAGTGCCCGCTCGCAGTCCTTCCACCCACCCTCAACTCAAGGCCCCATCTTATCTGTGAGGGCGGCACGTGGACCCGAGGGTTTCTCTCCACCTCCCTCTCCAGCTGCTGCCCGGAGTCCACAAGCTTCCACCTACCCGGCAAGCCCCTCACCTCGTTGTACATTGGGTCCCGCCGGAGGGACGGCTGGTACTGCTCACACAACACTGTGAACACTGTCAGTTTGCCTCTGAAACAAGGGAAGATGAGCACGACTCTGTTACTAACCCAAAATCAAGGAGAGCAAAAGGAAAACCACATACCTGTACACACACACCTATACACACATACATACACTCGCACACCTATACACATACATACCTACACTCACACCTATACACACACACTCACCTATACAAACATACCTACACTCATACCTATACACACATACATACACACTCACACACCTATACACATACATATCTATACACTCACCTATACATACATACCTACACACACCTATACACACATACTTGCACACCTATACACATACATACCTACACACACTCACCTACACATACCTACACTCACACCTATATACTCATACATACCTACACACACTCACCTATACATACATACCTACACTCACACCTATACACATACATACCTACATGCACAACTATACACATATACACACTACACCCACACACACACCCCTACACATGTACATACCCCCACACACACCTATACGCACATACCTACACACACATTCACCTATATATACATACCTACTCACACCTATATACATATACACACACACCTATATACACCCACATACACTCACATCTATACACATCTATACCCTTATATACTCGCACACCTATACACACACACCTATACACATACATACCTTCATACACTCACACACCTATACACACACACCTTCATACACTTGCACATCTATACACACACACACCTATACACACATACATACACATACACTAACACCTATTCACACACAGATACACACATACCCCTACACACACATACATACTCACACACACACACTGCATACATAAAACTCACCCATCTACGGCCAACAACAGAAACCAGATGAAATTAAGTAGGGGCTGCACAAATGGAGGGCCGTTCTCAATTGACGGGTGCTTCTGTGTGTAGGTTGTGAACACCACCGACGCACTGCTTTTATTTTTTAAACAGAGAAACCTGGAAATAAGAATATCCTAGTAAGTGGGAATCCTGAAGAAGGAAGAAACAGGGTTTCTATAAACATTTATGTGAACATTGAACACAGAACGCCACTGCAGGCACAGAGAGCCTCAGTGGTTACAGCCACCATGTGTGCGGGCCTGTGACATCCTCTCCCAGGCTGTGTGCCATGTGGCACCCATGGCTGGGACAACAGCTCCAATTACTGAAGGCCCGCTGAGCCAGGTTCTGTGTTCACACAGGCTGCCCCTGGTGAGCACAGCAACTCTGCATTCTCACAATTTGCAGGTGAAGAGAATTAAGCTTGGGAGGGTGACGCATCCAAGGTCAACAGGGCTCTGAGGGGTGAACTAAAACCTCCATTTTCTCTGCACCCATTAGGCATCTGCCTGCGTGAGCAGTCACCCCAGGGGCCCCGGACACCATGCTGGGCATGGGGACCCCAGGCTCTGGTCTCTGCCCACGGGGGACATCTCCACAGCTGGACTCCACTGAGGCGCCAGCCCTCGATAATACTTTCTTTTTAAGGCATAAAGAGGGATCCACGAGAAGGGGTTTAGTGATCTCACACGCAGTGCCAAGTTCAGTCCAGAGAACGTATCTAAACAATATGCCACAAAGCCAGGGTCATTCAGTTCTGTATTTTAAAAAATGTTTCATTTTTAAAGTCAACGTCAGCAACAAATAGTACGCTCAGAAGCTCCGAGGTGCTATAAAGTACAGCAAGTCGTTGTGACCCAGCCCCCTTCAAATTCACAGAACACTCCGACCCAACACCCGGCCACCAGATCAAAGTGTCTCTGTGGGAGGAAATAAACCTCTCCCCGTGACACGTCTCCATCAGGAAGGGAGGATGGGCCCAAGTCGGGAACAAGCAGAAAGGGAGGCGCTTGGGCGGGCGGCCCTGCCTGATGTGGGCGCTCACTGCACAGCCCACTCAACCGCTGGACGTTTCAACATCTCAAGATGACTGCTGGAGAGAAAACGGGATGAGGAGGCCGAACGGGAGCAGAGGGACAAGACAGGATCCAGTGGGAATGAACGCTGGCTGTGAGAGGCGCTATCCACGTAGTGAAGCGTTCAGATGCACAAACCTCTGGAGAGAATAGCATAGCCTCTGATAGCCTGCTCACCCCACATCCCCAGATACCAGGTGAAACTTACTAAAGACGTGTGTCCTACAAAAGAAAGGTTGTCTGACACTGAAGAACCCCCAAAACATAAAAGAGTTAATAGGGAAAAACAGAAAATCGATGGTAACAGAAGAATGTTAATTTAAAACATTAAAACTCACTTATTTTACTGCTCAATTGAAATTTTACAAGTGCCTGAGAATTCCGCTGGCTTAAGAGAGTTGAGAGGGACAATGTCTGTTGTCCCCGAGAGGTCTGCAGCAGGGGTTGCAAGGGCAACACTCGAGTGCGACCCTAAGTGACTCAGTGATTACCCTCCCACGTGTCTCGGTCAGGTGATGAGGTGACCAGCTCAGAGGCTGCCTCTGGAACCCCACAGCCACTGAAGCAAAGAGGCAACAGGTGCACACAGGTACCTACTGTAGGACAGCCTGGGCCACAAACATGTCCACCTCGCTGCGGAATCCCCTCGAGGTGGAATATTCCACCAGCATGTTGGCACAGCCTTCACCGTCAGTGGAGTGCAGGAAGTGATATCGAGATTCACAATAATTTTGTTCTATGAAGGCAAAAAGAGAAACCCATCAACACAGACGTATCACAAACATGACGTATCAGGGGGCCTGAAAGACACCACTGCACACTCCCCACGCACCCGCTCTCGTTCTGCACAGCACTCCCCCTGCTCACACCGAGCGCAGCAGTGTGGACGGCGCACCGTCCTGCACGCGGCGGCTCCACCAACATCTCACCAGCCGCCTCCAATCCAAAGTCAAATACAAATGGCCAGACAGGGCAGGTCATTCAGCTCAGCTGACTCATGCCAGCTGCCCCGCGTTCCCACATCAGCATTTATATCAGCCGAACCGTGAGAAATGGCCAACAGGGACAGACTCTTTTGACCTACACGGATAGCAATTTCATACAGACACGATGAAACGAAATGCAAAATCCTGACACCAAGTCCACTGACCCCGACACACAAGCGCCTTGAATCCCAGAGGAGCAGCCAGGACCGGGTCGAGGCCCGCCTTTCTCCCACAGGCCCCTAAGTCCGCCAAGAGCCCGCAGCCCTGCTCCCGGCCCATCTGCTCCCGCTCTTTCTTCTGCAGCACTTTCCGCCCTCAAACAGACTCCACACTTGAGTTAATCGCCACAGTTACCGTCCGCCCCCCTCCACAAAGAGCTGAGTCCCATGAGGCCAGGTCTCGTCGAGGCCGGCATGGAGCAGGCACCAGAGAGAAGCTCCTCTGGATGCAGGGCTGCTCATCCCACTGGGAACAGGACCAAAGTGCCTGTGAGAACCAATGGGTCCTGTATGCGGCGGGATGGTGGCGAGCGGCCTGTCTCTCCCGTCACCACCACCCTGGACTTGCACCTCTGATGTGTGCCCAGTAGAGGCTGGACTGTCCCCACTCAGGGCGGGGTCACCTGCGAGCTGGTCAGGAGGGTGGACTCTCCAGCCCTGAACTGGACCTGCATCCTAACAGCTGACTCGTGTGCACAGTCAAGTCTCAGTGGCCCTTTCTCAGTCCACGTGTCCCGTGGCCACACCTTTAATCAAGGCGCCAAGTTGCAGTGCTCACAGAGCGAGAGGGGAGGAGGATGTGAGCCCACTAGGGAACACGTGTCCTCCGACGCTGAGCTGTTTGAGCATCTCTGTTGTCAACTGGCTGATGGTCCCGACCTGCCCATTGCCAGTGGGCGTCAGGCTGTGAACTGGGCCTCCCATGCCACTCTGCCCCCCGCTCACCACTCACAATGCCTCTGCTCTTCTCCCGCGTGCTGCCCCCTACACCAGCTCCTCCCATAGTGATTTCACCCCCAACACAGGACACTTGGCAATGTCTAAAGACGATTTTTGCTGCCACAGCCGTAGGTGCCCCTGGCATCTAGCTGGAGCCCAGGGACACTGCTCAGCACCCTGCAGTGCACAGGATGCCCAGAGAGTTGGCAGCACCAAGGCAGAGACCTGGTTCCAGGCCGAACCACCACCAGTTCCCGCTCAGACACCCCAGCTCCTCCAGCCCACCTGCCCACAGCCCGGCCGTCTCCCACAACAGACCGATCACCCCCTCCCCTGCTCACAGGCCACCCTGGCTCCCACTCATCCTTCCAGGGTAAGGCGCCATGCCACCCGCCCCAGCCCGGCCCCGTGTGCCTGCTCTCTCCCATCTGCTACTGAGAACATAAGTTCCACCCAGGGGAGGCAGCCCCGCCTGCCCTCCAGGGCTCTGCATGAGCGTGGCACCGCCCCCACCACCTAAAAGGCGCTCCTAGCCTGGCATTAGCTCTTGGCACCTGGCTACTGCCTTCAGGAAACTCAGAATGATACGGAGTCAGCGTTCCTTTCTGCAGTCGTGTTTCGTTTGTCTCCCTTCTCTCCCTCCAACCCACAAAAATAACCTTTTGGTTTTAGAGCATCCACATGAGAAGAAAAATGAGGCAGGTAACTAAGCCCAGAAGTTCACGCCGGCATAGGGCCCCCTCGGAGCCCTGGAATGGAACCTCAAACACCACATGTGGCGAGGAATGTGAATGGGGGCAAGTCGTGAACCCCAACCAACAAGGCGCAGGCAGTGGCCCCAGGACGCCCAGCAGAGAGCAGTTCTGGCCTCATACGCCTGCCTGGAGGGGAGCCCCATCACTGCCTTTCTCAGGCTGGGCTCCCGCAGACACCCCCGAGCACGGCCCCTCCACACGAGCTGGACACCCACACAGAACACTGCACATCTCTCCTGACAGTCTGTGCTTGAAGGAGAACATTCAACTGTCTCTATCCTGAATCTTTAACACTGTAACAATAAATACACATCCTGAACCACCGAGGCCGAACCATCATGGTTCGCACATTCTGCTTCACAGACGCAGGGTCCCCATGGGCCCCACAAACATGGGCCGGGCAGGAGGGGTGTGGAATCAATGGTTGCTGGTTCCCACCTGCACATGCAGGCCCGACTCCTCTGGAAGACTTTCCCCACTGCCCTGCCGGGCCAGCCAGCAGATGGCCACGTGGGCTGCAGAACGGCACTTACCAGGCGTCCCGCACTGAACAAGACGGACTAATTCTGAGGGCAAGAGGGCGTGCCGGTGGAGACAGACAACAGCCGGGAAATAAATGGGCGCTGTGAGCGAGTAGCAGGAAACCTACGCTAATGAGGATGGCCCGGACGGGCCGTGGGTGACATCAGGTGAGTTCTCAGGGATGAGAAGGAACCGGCTAGAAGCGCTGGGAGGAGGCTGAGTTTGGAAGAACGAGGTGCCCATGGGGAACGTGTGGCCAGAGGGAGGAGGGAGCCCGCTAGCTGTTGTGCCCGAAGGCGCCAGCTGCTCTTTCTCAGTAACGTTTCTTTTCTGGGTTAGAGCTGGGGGAGTGACTCAGCCACATCCTCTAAAAAGAGCTTCCTTAACTTTCTGGACTTCGAATTCTCTCAGGTCTGACCCATTATTCTCATTAATGTCCCTCTGGGGTGAGGGCAGGGCTGTGCCAACACCCAGAGGGACAGAGGAGCCTCACACCCCGCCTGCCACAGCAGGCGGGAGATGGCGAGTGGAGCGTCACCTGCCCCGAGAGAAGAAGGGACGGGCAAGGAGTGTGCTGCTGGACGAGGACCTGTGCATCGGCCCCACGGAGAGCAGAGGGAGGAGCACGCCCTGGGGTGGCTGGCTTGTGGAGCAGACAGACATTTACCCCATCCCCTACCCCGTGTCAGAATGGCCGTTCCAGCAGGGCTGGCTGTTGTGGGTGCTGTTCACAGGCTCGTCTGCACTCACGTCCAGAGGAGAGGTGCCTTCGGCCCAGACCCTCTGAACTCTGACAGCTTCAAGCCTCAAGGCCCCGCCCTCTGCGCCGCAACGAGTCCCTGACCAGCATCGCCCTCTCTCCACTGGGCCCACCAGGTGACGTCCAGTGAGATGGGCGCACACACTTATATCTGCAACCAGGGCACGTGGAGAACCCAGCGAAAGCAGCTTTCTAAACCCCACCATCAGCCATCTTTCTAGTCACTCAACCAGCAGCTCCTCAGTGCCCTTCCCTGTGCCCAAGCAGCAGGCTCGGGGCTCGGGACATGCTCCCCACCCTCACGGCCTGACCAGTCCCCACAAATGCTCAATTAGAAGATGTGACAAACACTAAAAAGAAAAAACAGCGCCTGGCGCCGTAAGAGTGCTGGTCTGGAGGGACGTCTCAGGAAGGAGGACCCGTGGTGGGAGGAGCGAGGCCGCTGCCATGAGGACTCACAAGCCCCTGAGAGAGAAGGGGGCAGCCAAGGAAGGGTCACATGTGAAGGGCCAGCCCAGCGCGGCCGCCCTGTCCTCCCCGCTGCCTCGGCGCTTCTCCTTTGAGCGAGGTGACTCCACCGAGAGGAGATCCGCTATCAAGGCACAGACATTCACATTTAGCAAGACAGAAAAAACCCAGCCCGCGTTATCTCCGAGAGCAGGATCTCCCCTCCTCATCAGCTGTGGCAGATGATTCCAACCAATTAAAATGGAAAAGCAAATAAAAGCCAAAGGAAGCAGAGAGAGGGACACCTGCTCCCTGGACCAGCTCGCTCCCAGCCCTCTGGGAACGCCCTCGGGCCGCCCACTCCCACACTTCCGAGAGCCGCTCTGCGCATGGGCTCACCAGGGCCTACCTTTCCACAGGGTGAGGGCCAGCAGCTGGTGGAGCCGGGGGTGGCCCAGTTTCCCGGATCCTCCACTGGACCACTTCAGGGCTCTAGACACAAAGGCCACTCGCTCCGGAGAATTTGGATCCATCAAACTGAACAGTTTAGCCAGATTTTCTAAAAACAACACAAACACAGACTCTTACCCAAAGGAATACACCACTTCTTCGTATAGTGCATCTTACAAAAATTCATTGGAAACAACAATTATCTCACTGCAGTAGAAAGCTGAGAAGCAACTTGCGTGTTGGTGGTGTCCCAGCGTACCCCCATGGGTCCTAGTGCTGTCGGGGGCCACCCCCAATTGACCTCCCCGCAGCAGTACCAGCAGCCACTGCTCCTTTCTGGCCTCACGGCTTAGCCCGCACTGGGGAGCTGGGCAGAGGGTGGGCTGCGGTGGGGAAGTGAAGCACCAGGCTGGCAAAGACCAGGAGCAGGACCCCTTCTTCATCTTCCCAGCTGGCAGCTCACAAGATGGGCTCCCCAACTGCATGCTCGCCAGAAAGGACAGGCCAGCAAGCCAGGTCTCTGAGACAAAATGACGCCCCACCTTGCCCACTGGCTGGCTGGGAGGCCATTGTCCATCAGAGCAGTGGACAGTACAGGTGGCTCCCGTGTGTGTGTGTGTGTGGCTACGTGAGAGCAGCCATGAGACCGTCTCGAGTGCACAGTAAGAAAGCCTCACCCAAGAGCTCATCGGCCACCTCGACGTCTGCCTTCTCCAGCGACTCTAAGACCAGCATGGACAAGTCTGCAGCACTGTTTTGCTACAAAACATGGAAACGAACAAGAATCCCACAGTTAGAAACAAAGCTCTGGCCGTTTTCAGAATGCACGGCAAAGCGAGGCAACTGCTCTGGGTTCCAGGTAGAAACCTGTGACAGAACAAAGCTGAGAACACTCTTCTGAGCACCGGAGTCACTTAGCAACACAGCCCGGATAGCTGACTCCCAGCCTGGGGTACACCCACACAGAGCCGGAGGCCCTGCATAAGTGCCCCTGGACCCAAGGACACTCACCCAGCTGCAGGCAGAGTGGCCAGCACCAAGGACAGCCTGAGGTCATCCACCAGGTCTCTCCCTGGACATTCCCACCCCAACCCTCAGGCCCCAAGCAAAGAAGACCATGGGAGAAGCCCGCTGCTCACCTGGCCATGGCTGAAGAACAGCAGCGCTCCTGAGCACATGAGCTCCCGGGCCTCCGCGTGCTTGTTCTGTGACATGTACCTGCAACGGAGACAGAGGGGAGCAGAGCGCCAGTCAGGGGCAGCTACCCACAACGCTTCACGCAGATACCCCCAGAGTCTAACACACCCCTGAGTTCTGTCCGCCAAGCCACACAGGGACGGCTTCGGAGAGCAGATGCAAAGATAAGGCATCTGCATGAATGTGTGAGCATTATGAAGCTGGCGATCCCAGACACACACACACCACCTACCAAGAACGGAAACAAGGCTGTTTTCTCTCCTGAGGTCTGCCGCCGCACCGAGTGGTCAAGGCACCCTGCCCCTGGGGTCTGTCCAGGCTCCACACTGGGGTGTCCCACAGCCCAGCTCCCCCTGGCCTGCATGAATCCCCATTGTCGGTGATCTGGGCCTCAGGGGACCAGCAGACCTGTGCCCCCTGCAGCATGACTATCTGATAACAGTGTGGGTGGGGGACCCTGCCTGGGCCCAGAAAGGCCTGGAGCCTGAGCAGCGCCTCCCTGCAGCCACTCCAGGGTCTTCAGCAGAAGGGAGGACTTCCATCTCAGGCACAGGCTGTGCCATGGTGGCAGGTGCTGCATGAAGGGGCGGGTGATGCACCCTCATCCCCTGGAGAACCACAGGTCAGGAGTGAGGCAGGGAACAAGGGACAGTGGGAGCTCAGCACGGAGGCTGACTGGGGGACAGTACCCACGGTAACTGCGTTGACCTCAGTGTCGGCTGCCAGGCCACGTGCCCCCAAGCCCCCTCCCTGTGCTCCCCTCTGACTTCCTATGGGAGGCACAGGCCTGGGTGGGCGCCATCACCCTTGGTCGTGCATCACCCTCCCACTTTGAACACGTTTCTCACAAAGTACAGGAGCTGGGAAAAGCTGGTTTCCTGAACTGCAGAGGGACGGAAGCACAGAGCAGCAAGAAGCCTGGCAGGTAACGTGCAGACACAGAACAGAAAGGACGACGGTCCACCTGCAACAAACAATGTTCAGGGAGCAGACCGGGACTGAGCTGTTGCGTGTGGCACAGAGCCCCTGCCCGAGACAGAGAGTGTGAAATAGCAGAAAACGGCTTCCCAAAGCGAGGCACAGCCTCCAGTGGCAGCCGGCACAGCTGGCGCCAGAACATTTAACTCACCGGCTGTGTATTTATCTCAGTGATTATCAGAAAAGAAACATAACCAGTCAACCAAACCTGTGCCTCCAGCCCAAACAAATCCAGTTCAGGAGAGAAAGGAAGTAAGCCGTGGATGGGCACTCTCAGGACACGGCAAGCGCCGGTGCTGGCACAAGGGGCTCAAGGCCGAGCTTCCCCGGAGCACACCAGGGCCACAGTCAGGGGGGAATGCGAACGGCTGGCTGTTCCATTAACCACAGAAAAGGTCTTTTCTTCAAAGAGGCTCCGCAACCAGACACCCCCAGGAGAACACAGCCCCACTCCAGCCAGCACGCAGGGATCCAGCTGGCCCGGACACATGCCCCCATCTGGCTGTACACAGAGGTGCGACTGGGAGGAAAAACCTGCATCCCAAGAAAGAAAACCACTGTCAGCCCGCAGGTCACCAGCACAGTCTGTGGTTTCTGCAACAGCGCCGCTGGGGCGGGGTCCTTCTCTCTCTCACACACGCGGCCTGCTCCCACAGCAGCCCAGGTCATCCCAGTCTAGTCCTACGGGAGCCACCCTGCACATGACCTGGTCCCAGCACCGCCATGGGGTGTTCTGGAAAAACAAGTATTCAGAGGTGCACAGCCTCATGCTGCCACCTGCACACACACAGAACTGTCGGCATTCTTCCTAAGTGACAACCACGCCAGCTTGTCTTGGCTTATTCATGACACGACACAGTTGTAGACTCTTCTATGTGAGGTATAACAATAGAAAACCTCTTAGAAAACCAGATGAAAGAAAAAAAAAGTCCCTGAAAAGCAGATAAAATTCTTGGGATGACGGAGCCTGCTTTCAGGAGGCAGTGATCGTGGCCCGTCTCAGGGCATGGGAGCCCACACAGGGGAGGGGGGTGGTGACCCGTCTACTGAGCACACATGCCACCAGGATTCCCACCAGTCATTCCCCACCCAGTCAAAGTCGCTGCTGCAGATCAAGGAAAGCTGGGGGGGGGGGGGGGGCTGGGAAGACAGAGAACGGCCACTATGAAAAATGAACGTGCTTCTTCCTGCAGAACTTCGCAAGTGGGAAGGGATCTGTTGAAGGGACTGAGCAGGGGTGAGGTGCCCTCCAAGGCCTCAGGGGCTGGGAGCAGCCGGAACAAGACCCCTCCAGCGCAGCGCCACCCACGCAGCCCCTCGCCTCTACAGCTGCGCGTCCACACCTGCGCACCGTCGAAGTTGGCCTCTGCGTCCCCGATGGAAGGTCGTTCCAGGCTGGCATGTGCCGGTGCTATCTGCCCACCAACTGATATGGCAGCAGCACATCTTTAGCCACACAGGATCACGTCTGTGCAATTATTCTAGTTTATTTTGTTCTTATTTTTTAAAAAAAGAGAGCAGAACATAGAAATGGAAGCAGTAATATCAGTGATAAAAACTGCAGATGTCAAATTAAGAAGACAGAGGTGTCAAAAGTCTCCGCTAACTGAAGCCCTGATGCAGCGGGGCTCAGGCGAGCTCAGCAACCCCGCCTCAGGGTCGCCCCTAGAACCCGGCTGAGCTGACAAGGCACAGCTGCCCATGTCCTAGCCACCCCTTCAGGAAAAGTCCACCCTCCGCATGGGGTTGCAGAGAACACGCGTTTTAAATTTTCCTTCTAAAAACTTCTTCATTCGACTTAAGAGGCAAAAGAAGGTTACAGGCCACAATCAACAATCAACACGAGTCTCAGGAGGGCCCCCTCAGTAGGAAGCCCCGATTTCAGTTAACTCACAGCGGGCCTGGGCCAGCTGTGGAGACCCCTTGAGGCGACAATGGCAGCACGGGGCCACCATGCCAAGCAGTCATGCCAGCCTCGGGGTTTATTTAACCGAGTACCAATAAACCAACAGGACGGGAAAACAGACTCTCGTCCTGGCGGAGAGAGACCTGAAGAGACAAGGTGACCGCCCACTGCCGGCAGCACCACTGACGAGACAGAGCCCAACACGGACGCTCTGCCTCCAGCCCAACCAGCTGGACCGGCGACTACTGCCCACTCCTGTGGAACACCACCCCCCCCCAAGTCCAATCTGTTGGGTTGTCCAACTCCTTCTCCTAACCTCCTTAAACTGCTGTGGGATATAATGTAAAGGAATTAAAATAGTATAACTCGGTAAATTTACCCAACACGTGAATGGATAAATGAACTGGTCCATCCACACAACGAAAGACCCCTCAGCAATGAATGAACTGCTAACATACACATGGATGAATCTCCAAATGACCACGCCAGGTGACTTCAGATAGAAAAACAGGACCTACTCTGTTATTCCACGTCTATAACATTCCAGATTAAAAAAAACAATCTATCATGACAGAGAGATCAGCGGTTGCCTGGGGGCAAGGGTGAGAGATTGATTATAAAGGCAGATGAGAAAATTTGGGGGGGGGGTGATGGGTATTTTCGTCTTGCTTGGCAATACTGTCACAGGCCTGTACATATATCAAAACTCACCAAGTTGTACATTTTATATAAATACTTAAATATAGATATATATATTTGTAAAAAGACATTAAAAAAATACTAAAATTCAATGAATTTGACTTCTCCAGCAGCTAACCACTGTAGAGGGCTCTAACCCAGGGCTGGCATCATGGGTCTCAACACGGTCTGTACCCTGGAGGGACAGGGACAACTCCGGGCTATTTCTGTTAGGCCTCCGGGATGGCCACAACTGCCACCGCTGACCTGGTCCACTGCATCCCCCATGAGGCTGACGGCAGATCGCTAACTTCTCACCTCCCCTGGAGAACTGTAGGAGTACCCCAAATGACACACGAGGAAGCCAAGGCTCAGAGAGGTGCAACAAGGTGTCCCGGGTCACAGGTCATGGAGCAGAAGTGGACTGTGAGCCCAGGTCAAGGCTGGGCTGGTGGAGAGCCTGATGTTCATCACCACCCCACAACGTCACCATGAAATGCATCCCGGGTGGAGGGACTCACCACTTCAAAGCTAATCGACATTCACGTTTCTCATGTAGCAGCCACTGCAGAACTGGCTCAAAACAAGGAGCACCGTGTTTATTTCTGGGATGATCCAGTTTTGCTGATTAATCACTGGGGCAAATATTTATATATATACAAATCCCCAAGAACAGCAAGCACCAGGGCAGACCTTGAGCAGACAAAAGCTTCCCGTCACAGATTTCTGACTGGCTGAGCCGCCTGGCGGGAGGCTCAGTGTCACAGAGTGTAATGCCTACACACATCTTCCTCATTCCTTGAAGAACCATCAACTCACTCCTAACTGGTCCTCTGGGCCACAACGTGCCACATTTAACTCAACCAAATTGGTAAACTACAACCAAAGCAGAAAGCACCACTAGAGTTCCCAAGATATTGATTCAACTTGCTATTTGAAGAAAATTTTAAAATCTAGGCCTAAAAGGTATAAATGCCCGACCCACTGCCCTTAAATATCTTACCAAAACATCTGCTGTTCTGCGGCAGTTGAGAAAGAAAACGCACTCTGTAGAACAGATTAAATCTTCTAAAATTATCTTTAATACATACCCAAGTTCTAATGAATCGCCCAATTGTTTTCTGGTTCCAACTATAAAGGATCACAGATGTGTAATTCACAAGAATGTCTCACACGTATAAGAACGATTTATGGCAGGGGCTGTGTGACAGCAGAAATATTGTGACACACTGCAGGCCAAAAAAATTAATGCAAGCTACACAGTTCGTTGAAACTTTATAGGGCCACACTAAAATAAAAACCACTTTATTTAACCCAGTAATACACAACCATCGTTTCAACATGAAATCAATGTTTTAAAAGTTGCAATGAGTTATTTCACGTCCTTTTTTGCACGCAGTGTTTGAAGCCCGCGTGTGTCTACACTCACAGCCCGTCCCACTTGGGACTCACCACGTTCCAGAAGCTCAGAGCCGCACGTGGCCAGTGGCCAGCGCACTGGGCAGCGCAGGTACGACACCACCAGGGTAATAAAAATAGCTGGTTTAGTAACAACACATAGCATGCGGGTGAGCAAGAGCGACCAAACAAGCACAGAAACGTGTTTAAACCCTCACGACTGAACTCCTTGTGGGAGGAACCGTGAGACTCCGCGTGGGGGTTTCAAAGGCAACGGCGCTCGGGGCTCGACGGTGGGAGAGCCGGGGGAAGGGAGAGCGGGGGAGAGGACTCAGGCCGGGAGGTCAAGGGCAGGGTCCGGGGTTAGGGATCTGGGGTCTGGACAGGCGTCCAGGATCGAGGGCCCATGGTCTGGGTCCGGAACCGGGGCTCCGGGGTTTGAGTCCAGGGTCTGGGTCCGGGGTCGGGGGTCTGGACAGGGGTCCGGGATCTGGGGTCTGGGGCGGGATCTGCGGTCCGGGGTCTGGGCCGGAGTCCGGAGCCCTCCCCGGGCCGCCGCACGGCCGCGCGCTCCGACTCTCGGCGACAGGCAGCGGCGCGGGCCAATGGGGGGCGGGGGCGGGCGCCGGCGGCGGAGGCCCGGGAAGGCGGCGGTCGGCTACCTGAAGAAGAGGGTCCGGTACATCTGGTGCGCCTCGTAGTAGTCGCCCTTCTCGACGCTGGCGCGCAGCTTGCCCTCCACGCGCTGGACGCCGCCGCGGTTCCGGGCGCCGTTCCGGGCGCTCTCCTGCTCGGCCATCGCAGCCGCCGCCATCGGGCCGGCGCTCCGCGCAGGGCTGACGCTGTCGCAGGCGCGGTCGGCAGCGCCTCTCGGCTTCCGTCCCGGCGGCCGCCCGACGCCCTCTACGGTGGCCGCGAGGAGCCACGGACCGCTGGGGGCTGGCGGGCGGACGAGCGGCCACGTGACCGCGGGGCGGGGGCTGCGGGGCCACCACGTGACCGCGGGGCGGGGCTGCGGACCGCGGCTACTTGACCTCAGGCGGGCGCGCTGACCTCACAATGGCGAGCGCACGTGAGGGCGGAGCGGATAGGAGCGGCGGAGGAGAAACCGAGGCTGGGGAGTCGCGGCGCTGCCCTACCCCCAGCCCCCCAGTGCCCGGGAGGGTAGCCGCGGGTGAGGCAGCTGGCGTTCCAGCGACCGCCGACACTTGAACCGTCCGGCCGCTCCAGCGGAGTCTCGGGCGGGCCGCCCGGAGGCCTGGGCGCCGCTGCAACCGCCCGCCTCAGCCGTGGCGCGGGCGCGCCCCGTCGACAGCCCCGCAGACGGAGACTCTCGGTTCCCAGCTGGTGCCCGCGGTGAGAGCCCGGGGGCTGTTTGAGGAGCAGTCCTGCCCTGAGAGGGGCCCCGAGATGCTCTGGTGACAGGGAGGGGGGGCGACAACGGCACGTTGAGTGTGCCATCGTTGTGTCAGAAACAGAGGGGAAGCACGTGTTTAGGTTTTTCCTCATACACGCGTGTTTGCAGAAGGATAAGAAAGTGGTGACACGGTGATAGGAACGCTCGTACCGGGGCAGCTGGTCTGGGGTAACCCTGGCTCGGCCTGAACTAACGCACCTCCGCCACGGCCTCAAACCCAGCCCGTCCACCCCGTGCCCCCGCTGAAGCCAGGAGCGCGGGCAGCGTCCTCACAGGGAGGCACGCGGCGTGACGAACAGCGCCCCCACGTGTCTGACGCGCACCCCTTGTTCTAAGAAAGGAGAAACGAATGGAAGCAACGCTTCCCCCGACGTTCTCCCTTTGTGGAGCCGCTTTCCCGACGGGTCCCCAGCGGGGCTCGGCGGAACCCCACCTTCTCGCTCCCCCAGAGAACAGCCGGTTACGAGTCATCTGCCTGGACAACCGGTTGCCCCTGAAAATCGACAGACGGGAGGTGGAGGCAGGAGGGAGCCTTCACGGGCACCGCTCTCTCCGGGGACCTTGGCGCTCGAGTCCTGCCACCTGCCCCGTCCAGCCTTTCCTCAGCGTCACTCCTCCCGCTGTCCCGACCCCCAGTGTCACCTCCTCAGAGGGCTGCCCAGCCCCTTCTCTCGTGGCACGTGGGCCTCCCTCAGCTCCGCCCTTGCTCGCAGTGATCTCCGCGCCGTGCGGCACACACCGGCATCCGGTAAACACGGAGCGAACGAACTCGGCTCCGGCTTGATGGGGAGCCGTGCCAGCGCCCACCCTCAGCAACAGCGGCCCAGGGACAAGCGCTCCTCCGAGGAGACCCATCCCCTCTTCTCCCAAGTTTCTCCTCAAGCCATCTTCTCTGCACTGCAGCCTGTTCTCCACGTAAGGCGGCCATGGCCCAGGGTAAAGCTGGGGGAGCTGTGTGAGGACACGTCTCCATTAAAAAGCCCGTGACATAGAACGTGGCAGAAAGAACAGGCACATCTAGTCGTTCCTCCCCCAGACCTCCACGGGCAGAAACAAAAGCAAATTGAGAAAAGGGAAATATACTGTTTATTGTTCATTTGAAATATCACATGCACTTTTAAAAATTAAAACTCTTTATTTAAACATTTCAACAGCATCTTATTAATTTGGTGGCAGCAAAGGAAGGACTAACAAAGACAAATATTTTGAAAAGCATTTACAAAAATACATTGCACAGAGTCCTATCCTGCATCATTAAAAATAAATTAATATTCAAAATATTTCCACCCAACTCCCAAATTTAGTTTTATATAAGAAATTTTGATTTATATATTTATCCTGTAATATATGAAACATCTGTATACATTTTATCCAACTTGACTGCATAGGCATTAGTTCCAATTCTAAGAGTGAAAAAAATGCTACTTTATGTAGTTTTTGTATATTTGAGGACTGTTGTGCAATATACATAAAACTCTTCAGAAAACCAGTCAGCACCATCATTTTATCTTTTTCTGAAAATACAACATTTATGGTACACAAAAAAAACTGTCTTAACCCAATAAAACTTTAAGGTAAAACATCTGTGACATTTGAAGTGCCTTGCAGACACCTCATGTATAAAGTCTGCTCAATGAAGAGTCAATATTAAATATTAATTATAACCAAACGAATCTCTCGGGAAGTGAGTGAGAATGGCCGACAGTCGCAATACAAGGTAAACCCCACCTGCACCGGGAGGAAGCACAGCTATGAGAACAACGATAAGCATAAAATGCAACAGTTTCAGGAATGTGCCCCACCGGACAACCTCCTTTGATAACCATCAGTGGAATAAAAACAAGCCTCTGAAAGATTTAGAGCATGTTACTGTTCACTTTTCAGCAAAATTCAAAACAAAACCTGAAAACACCCGGAAGGTTGGATTTCTTGGTTCCTATTCACACTGTGAAAGGAAACCTCCGGGTGGCCCAGGGGGCTGAGCCTGGTGGGGCACCTGAGAACTCTACGGACGTGTCTGTTGGGATCCAGACCACCCCCTTCAAATCAGACTCACTTCAGCTACGACAGAATGAATGGATATTAGCACACTGAGTCCTGACTCTGAAAATCCTTCTCAGAAGTAGGAGCAGACTAAGCAGAAAAACCCATTTCTGTTATTTCCCCACCTGGTAACTTAAAACAACTACTGGCGCTGAATAAAGGAGAAATACATCCTAAAGGAAAGGAGTGCTGAGTTCTGAAATTTGGTGACACTGTTTTTGCCTGAAAGAAATGTGTGCTGGATTGAACAGCTGTAATATATCTGCCCCCAAAAGTCCTTTAAAAGGGCTGCCAAAGGCTAAATATCAATGCTTCAAGAACACTTCAAACATTTTAACTTCATCTGCTCTGTTCCTGATGTCAAGAAAATAAAGAGAGCTTTACATTCAAAAACAAATCTCCAAAACAAAGTGAGTAGACTTCCACAGAGATCGCCCACGGCTGATGGATCTCCAGGAACCCGAGTACTCAACATGCAGTGTTTTCTGTGGACAGAACAGCAAGCCGGGCTCAGAGCCTTCCCCGCTTCCATGTCCACGTCCTCCTGCTGGCAGTTGTAACATTTATTTAAGGGGTGATGTGATCCTGTTGTTCTACATGCCTCATTCAGGAAGGATTCCAGTGTTTCAGGCTGTCCCAGTATATACAAAATGTACAAGAACAGTAGTGGCTTGTTTACTCGACAGGCTCTCCATGGACTCTGAACCGGTAAAGACACGTGTATTCAGGGTGGCCCCAGTTAGAAACAATCCGAAGTTCCACAATTTGGAAAGCTCTTTCAGGTCTTTTCTGAAATTGAGGGGGGGGAATCACACTTATTTTATGTTAATACCCCCAGCCCAATCACGTCCCCAACTACTGTATTTGAGAGGAAGTAGCCAAGTTGGAAATTGTTTTTCAATATGAACTAAGTCATCTGTCATAGGACACAAAGCTCAGGTAAACCTGAGAACTCCTTATGAGCCAGAGATGTACCTTCCATTTCAGTACCTGAAGACAGGTTCCTGCAGAGCAAGATAGACACTAAAAAGGTTCATTCGGGAAAAGAAGAGCTGGGGAGCTCAGATGCACTTTTCTCAGAGGCTGACCCTCACACACTCTAGACAGTTTTGTTAATGTCTCCAGGTCCCGTCACACGAGAAGCCAGGGGACTCAGGAACCCACAGACGGGTGTGACCACACAGGTCCTTACCAGCACATGGAACATCTGCAGCGACTCCCCTTCTTGATCGTACATAAACTGTCCCAGAAGCTGCCCTTCTTCTTGATATTCATTGTCTAATCCCTGAAACCAAAACCATACAGTCAGTAAATAATGGAAAAGAGACAGTGAGTTAATTAGGATTGAGCTGGGAGAGTGGCCACTGAAGGGGTGATAAGGCCTTCTCTCTTGGGGAAGGCTTCACACAATCCACGACAACCCTACGAGGGAGGTACTATTCCTCCCACTATACAGATGAGGAAATTGGAGGCTGAAAGAGGGCAAGCGGCAGAGAATGACTGTCCGACTGCACAGACCACACTCGGTACCCGTATGGCCCACTGCTGCTCTCCACATTCCAAAGTGGAGACCCAGGATACCCGATGAGCCCGTGGGAAATGAGAACAGTCAGCAGAATGTGGTGCCCAGAGGAGATCAACTCACACAGAAAGTAGAAGGGTGGGTGCCAGGGGCGGGGATGGTCAGTATTTCGTAGGGACAGTTTCATTTTGGGAAGATGAAGAGTTTTGGAGATGGATGGTAGTGATGGCTGCACAGCAATGTGAACGTGCTTAATGCCCCTGAAATGCACACTGACAAGTAGTTAAGAGGGTAAATGTTATGTTATGTGTATCTGACCACAATAAAAAGTAACCAGTGGGACATAGAGGTGACTACTTGAATGTCTGTTGCACATGGGACAGGACATCCTACGTATGAAAATCCACGGAAGGAATTACAGGCAGTAAGCAGAGGAAGCCAAATATAAAATACTGACTGACAGGGAAGTGGTACCTTAACGGAATGACGTGATTAATAGTTATACATTAAAAAGCTCAAATATTCATAAGGAAACTAAGATCCCAAAAGATAAATGAATATAAACAGAACTAGAATCTACAAGAAGAGAAACACACGTGAGATACATAGAAATGTAGGTTACAATGTTTCACCTACCAAGTTAGCGGAGTTTAAAAGAAAGAAGCCTCAGTGAGAAAGGGACCATGAGATAAATCACACTTCTCTGATACACTGACAGAAATGCTCATGCCCTCTCCACACCCTTTGAGTCAGCAATGCCACTCTGACTGTCTCATCTAAGGAAATAACGGAAGATGTTGCACTTACCCTGAAACTCGGAAAATTCAAATACTCAACTATAGGAGACCAGGTAAGGTAAATAAAGGTTTAGTGATACAATGGTATTTTATGCTGCTATTGAAAGATGTGTCTATAGAGTTAATCGCCATGGAAAAATATTTATGGTAAATTTGTTTTTGTTTTGTTTTTTTGTGACGAAGATTGGCCCTGAGCTAACATCTGCCAATCCTCCTCTTTTTGCTGAGGAAGACTGGCCCTGGGCTAACATCCATGCCCATCTTCCTCCACTTTATATGGGATGCCGCCACAGCATGGCTTGACAAGCAGTGCGTCCGTGCAAGCCCGGGATCCGAACCAGCGAACCCCGGGCCGCCATAGTGGAGTGCACGCACTTAACCACTTGCGCCACTGGGCCGGCCCTGTAAATTTGTTTTTTTAAGGCAGGAAACAAAATTTTATGAACTGTGTTGTCTCAACTATATTTTTTAAAGGGAAAAAGAAGAGACCAAAAAATGCTACAATATTCATGGTGACTTCTCTAGGTGCTGGGATTCTAGGTTGTGTTTTTCCATCTTCCTTATTCTTTTCTGTAAATTCAACACCATACCGTTGTCAGAACTGTCTTTATAGCTGAATAGACCAGAGAGATGGAATAAAATTCTCCAGGTCAGGCAGGCTTATTTTCATCTGTCCAGCACCACACACAAACTGGACCATCAGTTAACATGCTCCTTTTACCCTCCCTGGGAAAAGTAATAGAATAGTCCCCTCAACATTTCATCTGTATCCTCAAGAGTATTAAAGGGCAGAGGGAGGACAGATAGCTACCCCCTGCAAATACACTCACATCATCAGCCTTTACAGGGCTCATCTTTGGGAAATTCCCAGGATGGGATGGGGAAGAGAGTGCCTCTTGGCATCTCCCTGGACCAAGCACACTCACGTAGACTGTGAAGTCCTTGGGGGCGCTGGTGATGTTGCCCGTGGGTGACAGCGTCTTTGGTATGTGCTCCAGTGTGAAGGTGGTCGGGCGGATCTTCATTGATAACCTCACCACAAGGTAGCCCTGGGAGCCTTTGAATGCCCAGCAGTTACCTGGATATATGTCAGGCTGGGGAAAAGGCAAAGTACTAAAACTTAATAGTTGAACAGGCTCTTAACCACTGAAAAAACAGAAGCGATAAGAGAAAAGACTTATAATGTTGGACTATAAATAAAAGAACTTTTGTGTGGTAAAAATCACCATGAGCAAAATCAAAAGGCAGACTGGGGAAAGGGGTGTGCAACTTAAATCCCAAAGGGTCACAATGGCCAGCACAGAAAGTCAAGGTAGCAGGGCTCAGAGAAAGGTGGGAAAACACACAGTCAAGTCAGAGAAAAGTAAATGTAAATGGTCCTCGAACATACGAGAAGATGTTCCACTCACATGACAAACAAGAGAAACACACATGTACAGGACAGAGTGTTACCACTTCTCACCTAACAGAATGACAAGAACCCAAAAGTTTGACAAAATCTGTTAACACTGTGCGGAAATGCACGCTCTATCTCATACACTGCTGGTCCACGTCAGGATGGACAACCTCGGGACATACACTGCTGGTCCACGTCAGGATGGACAACCTCGGGACATACACTGCTGGTC